TTAGCAATATGCTGCCTAATGGTTATTTTGCACATCATTATTTTCCTTCTATCATATATAATTCATTGTTTATTCCATTCTATTAAATTGAATAAGATGTATTTTTACGTAATTTTGTCAGATTTTCAACTTAGTTGAATGTTATCATCATCATTATTCTTATTATCATCCCGGTTCTTCTATACAACCAATTGCCTTTTTTACAGTTCTGTTGCTCCCCTCAGCCCTTCGATAAAATAGAAAAATGTTACTTATACATAATTGAATGAATTTGAACTATCGCATTTGATGAAACCATCAGAAAGCTCACTTTCAGGGAAATTAATGAAAAATTCAAAATTTTCGACAATCATCATAAAAATCAAATCAACCAATGTAGCTATCGGAATGATCTTTTAACATCGACTCAATGGCATTAACACAAACATTTTAAGCCATGATTGAATTAATTTGAAGCATAATATCCAAAGATATCCCGGCAATTCTGTCTTTTAAAAAATATCGAATTTTTGGGAATTTTCAAATAAATCAAAATAACAATTATTGCTATCGCCTTCATCTTCGAACTCGGTCAAAAGCCCTCCAAACCATTTTTTTGAGCTATCATTCAATCAATTCAGAACATTTTTTGGTAATGTTAAGAAAGAAGGTCCCACCACCGATCCGATGGTCAAATTTTCAGAAAGATCGGTAGTGGGGCCCTCTTTCTTAACATTTACCCATTTTTTTAGTTTTTTTTTTGTTATTGTAGCATCAACCCTGATGGGTTATTTACAAAACAAAAAAAATGGTACAAATTATCTTTTGTCTAATATTAACTACTGGGGTCTAGGTAAACTTTTAACATTCAGATTTTTATCTTACATCTTTTAACAAATTGATGAATGATTTTCAGTGGTTCTAAATCTTTTGGCTACTAGGAATGCAGCTATGGTGAACGGTCTGGGTCATCTGTTTGATTAATTTTTTATTCATTTCTTCCCGTTCTAGCTCGGAATATTCCGTACATTCCCACAGGACATGATTAATGTCCTGCACTTCCGCACCACAGCTGCACCCCTTTGTATCCGCAAGTCCTAATTTTTTTAATTATCGTGAAAAAAAAAAAAATTCAATTTAAAAAGTTGAAAAACTAATCTCTCTATATAAATCTCTCTATATAAATAAAAAAATAAGGCGAAAAATTCAGGGGACACTCAAGTTCAGGGGACGCTTAAATTCAGGGGACGCTCAAATTCAGGGGACGCTGGGTGTCTATATGAGGAGGTGCGTGTATTTATAAGAGATGTCTATATGAGGGGGTGCTCATATGGAAGATGTTTATTGGTACGGTCACACTGCTGCGGTCACACGGACGGGAGGGGAACGAGCGAAGCGAGTGGGGGGGGGGCAAGCCCCCCCCGGGTTGGCGAGCGGAGCGAGCAGGGGGCGAAGCCCCCTAGTCAATGAATTAAATTTTAATCAATGGCGATTGATAGAGCTCAACAATACCTACATTTGAGGGAAAAAAGATTCAATTCTATCGATTCATTAGCGAACAATCGACGAAAAATTTGTTTACATAAGTACGCTCACACCTACATACGTACGGACACGGTCTAAAAATTGCATTTTCGAAATTTTTAGATCATAATGGGTCCACATAATACGAAAAATCTGAAACGTAAATTTGAACGATTACAATGCTTCCGTCGGAAGCGATAACGCAAAAGTAAATGTTCACATGCCTTCTGTCTGATAGGCTTGAACTCCACTTGTTTACTTGAAATTTCAGCAGTAATTTTCCAACAGTGTTGGATATCCTTAAGGATGTTTATCCAAAATCGCAAGTACTCAAAAAAGAATTGATTTTTTTCAACTGTGAGATGAAGTTATTCCCTTTACTTTGGTAGAAATTTCAATCCACCAACCCATGCTCATTATTTAGAAATAAAATAGACAAAATGTCCCAAATGCATGCGCTAACATGCGCTTATATGGGATAGAATCATTCAAATATTCCCTCTGTTTGCCCGGGTACCCCAGATTTTTCTCTGGCCATTCGATTCAGTACAGCTTTGCAAATTACCTCCTATTTTTATTTCTACAAGATCTATGCGCGCACTCTCGCGCGCGCTGATCTATTCATTTGTTGAAATGAAGAAATGGAATCCATTGAATTTCGTTTTCTCATGAATACCTTATAAATACTGATAATGAATCAAAGAGAATTCGACTAATGATTGAAGTGAATAGCGAAGTAGAGTAAAAGAATCTATAAAGAATTTTTCATTTTCAATTAATTATCTTCAATTTTGTTAAATAATCAGTCTCCATAAAAGGGCAGAATTTATTAATTTCACCGATGATATATATACATGTGAAATATATATATTAGATTTATATATATATATATATATATATATATATATGACGTGAAAAAAAAATTTACCACTGAGAATTTGAAATTATGTCATTGAAGAATTTGAAAATGCCGCGTGTTTTTTTGTGTGAATAACTTCGTATCACATATTGACCAATCAGAATTAAGGATTAGCGGTCAGGCAGTTTCGAGATATTTCGATATAATGTTTTATATCGAAATATCTCGAAACTGCCTGACTTCACGTTTCTTTCATCTTTAGTAAATAGAATTGTTAGAGTCTTCTAGTAAATGAATTATCAATTTGAACATAAATCCCATAAGAGCCCATGTATAAGGAACAGTTTGTTTATTTATTTCTGCCGATGTTATTGCGATAAATATTTTTTAAACATCAATAAAGTTAGTTTTATGTTTTACTACCAGCCAAAAAAATTACAAAATTTTCCTTGAACATCGAAAAAAGCACATTTGCCGACAATTTTCCGGCACTGGCTAAACATCCTTAAAATCAAGCCCCAACCCCTCCGAATCGCGCCGTTCAGTCCCAACTAGAGATGCGAAGGCGTCATGTGATCGGTCATAAAGTGGTCATGTGACCGTCATTGACGGTCCGATCACAAAATATTTTTCCATGACGGTCACAATTGGCCGAAAAACTGTGACGGTCATTTTGCATCTATATAGTTGAAACACTTTTTTGTTCATCCATTTTTTTTTCTAATTAACTAGGACTCTTGATTTTGTTTACTTACTTTAGTATTTAGAACTCTTCACTTCGTTTATTTTGTTCCAAAGATGAAAAGTGTAATCATTCTCTCATTCTCTCATGAGTACGCAAAAATATATGTAAGCACATGTTTCATAATTTTATAATTAAAAAAAGCGGTGTACAGTTGTACACATACATTTCGAGTCTTCCATAAGAACCTTATAATAAACAATAATTGATAATCAATAATAAATTGAACGAATAAACGATGCCAATTATGTAGAAATTACATGACCGTCACAAAAACCAATATATTTATGACGGTCACAAGAATTTGACCTCATATGACCAAAAAATGACGGTCCGTGATTTGTGACGTCCCGAAATTTCTAATGCCAATTGACGGTCAAAATTCTTGTGATCGTCATAAATATATTGTTTTTTGTGACGGCCATATAATTTCCACATAATTGGCCTCGTTTATTCGTTCAATTAATTATTGATTATCAGTTATTGTTTATTATAAGGTTCTTATGGAAGACCCGAAATGTATGTGTACAACTGTACAACAGCTTCATTTTTGTGATTATGTCATATGACCAAAAAATGCCGGTCATTTCGCATCTCTAGTCCCAACGCATCACAAATAAAACCCCAATCCACTATCCCCCAAAATTCGAATTTTCCGCTCATAGTCACCGCGTTATATCAACGAGGCCGCGTGGCTTATGTATCTCAACCATCCCTTCTTTGGGTAAGTAAAACCGAGAGAGATGGAAGAGGACGTCTGTGTGGATTACCTTGTCACAACGTGGTCATGGCCCCTCGCCTGGCCCCCGAGGATCGTGGTCAGGAGCGAATCCTCGCCCAAACCACCTTCTCTTTTACCCCACCTCCTCCTCTCCCGCCCTCCCTCCCCCCTCTCCCCACCCCCACCTCCTGACCTCGCGCAATTCATTCCCTCCGTATTAGTAAGTTTCTTCATTCATACCATCGTCATACTCCGTCTTTATTTACTTTTATATAATGATTTCAATTGATTCCTGGATGAACACGACTTGAAATAGTGAATAAGGCGTGAAGGAAGAATCCAAGGTCGTTTTTGGACCAATACAAAACAGGCACTTTCTAAATGAACGATCTGCTGTGTGTTTTACTAACAATTTTTTTTTCTTTCATTTCGATGACAAAAATGATCAAAAATGGTTTAGTGAATTAACTAAACTTTATTAAACGCAAATAAACTATTTAATTGATTTAAATTAAGTTTAGTCAACTCAAATAAACCATTTTTCTGCGTGTGCCAAGAACATTATTGACTTGTATCATGAGTTGGGATTTAATTTTTGCAAAAGGAAATTTAATATTTTCAGACGATCCCCGTAAAATCGAGAGAATCAGCGAATTTTTGTGAGAAATTTTTTAATGCTCTATTTTGCTGCAACAATGGTGCACAGAACAATTTTGTCGTCTGAATAGTATTGTTTTAGTACTTTAATACTGAATTGTTCATAAATGCGCAGTAATTATTATAAATTCTCACCCGTCACTCAACCTAAACGCACAATGCTATTAATTCGAAAGAAAATAGATGAATGAAATCAAGTCGTTGAGCATAAAAAACCTACGTCATTATCTATGCACACGAGTGCATAATTCTATGGTAACATTTAAAGAGAAAGGGAACCGTGTGAATGAATGGAATTTTCGTATTCTCGGCGACGATTTACATGTTCCGAAGATTCAAAGTGTTTTCATTAAAGAAGTCTTCGAAAAAACGTTGGGTAGACATGATTTTTCCACTCGACAGTGAGAGAACACGAAAACAACGCGCGTTTACGATTTTTTATTATCATTAACTGAATGGGGCATTGATGAATTTAATGTAGAGAATTATGCACATTAAATTGAATCGTAAAATCTCACCTAGTCACTCGTTTTTTAGCCTCTCCATTCATTAAACTTGGTATTCACGGTGGTAATTAAGTATTACCCCAACATTACAGAGCACTTTATCACAATTGCTTCGGACGTAATTGCGGAAACTGCGTTTCAAGAGCGCGAAAGACAACGGGTGGAGAACACACGAAGAGAGGAATTGAGAAGGTAACGCGCGCTTACGGCTTTTGCGCAAGCGCCGAGGGCTCTCCCACCACTCGGGCCCTCTCCCCGCGTGTCCCAACGACTCCCACTCCGCGGTCAATGGTGGGACTTGAGGCCCATTTGCGCCGAGAGCGCGCGGACCAAATTTAGCGAATTTTTTTTTCTCTGGATTTCGGGGTTTTTTTGGGGGATGAGCGGGAAAGGGGGGGGGGATGATTGATTGGATGGGGATTGAAATGTTGCGGTGCACGTGGATGACTCTGGAGAATGTTTATGCAGTGGACGTCGTCATCGCGGATGTGTGCAGACAATACGATAAATGGTCATCTTGATGGGGAGGAATGACGTTGACGCGACCGCGGATTCAGGAGTCGAAAGTCTGACTGATGATGAATTTTTCACTCGTCGAACGTTTCATTTGAATGACAAACGTTTGCTCGCGGGTTAGGGTATTGAGACGGTTCTGCGGGAGGGGGGGAATACAAAAAGGAAATCTTCGTGGTGAATATTTTTAAAAGTATGGGAGCTTTTTTTATAGTAATGAATGATAATTCGGGGATTTTTTGGCGCTGATGATTTTTTGGTTTCTAATTTTTTCGGCGTGAAGTATGAAGTTATATCGATAATGAGTGGTTTTCGAAAACCATTTTGAATGATTATTTTGTCAAAATTTTGGGTCGCTGGAAAAAATTAAAAATGTCATTCATAAATGACAAACATTTTTTTAGGTTTAGGGTGCTGAGAAGGTTTTGCGGGAGGGGAAGAATACAAAAAGGAAATTTTCGTGGTGAATATTTTTAAAAATATGGAAATTTTTTTTATACTAATGAACGATAATTCGGGGATTTTTCGGTACTGATAAATATGTATGAGGAATCATTTTGGAATATTTGGTTTCTAATTTTTCATGTGTAGAGTAGGAAAAAATTAAAAATATTTTCTTTTTATTCAAAAATTGATAAATTTCATTCATTTGTATCTGAAATTTCTATAGGACATTTCATTTGAATGACAAACGTTTGGTCTCAGTTTACATAGTTAAGGCGGTTTCCCGAGAGAGGAAGAATACAAAGGAAATTTTCGTGGTAGAATGAAGGTCTGGGAATGGGATCACGTCATTAATATTTTTAAAAATCTGGAAATTTTTTTTACACTAATGAACGAAAATTCGTAGATTTTTTGGCACTGACAAATATGAACGGCGAATCATTCTTGAATATTTGATTCTTAACTTTTTATTTGAATGAAATTGTCTCGATAATGAGTGGTTTTTGAGGAAAAATTTTAACAATATTTTTCATCTAAATTGTTTTCGTTTAAAAAAATTAATGAATTTTTATTTTTATTCACAAAATTGATGAATTTCATTAATTTTTATCTGAAATTTCTATTGAACATTTCATTTGAATAATGAACGTTTGGGCTCGATTTAAAAAATTGAGGCGGCTTTCTAGGAGGGGAAAAATAGAAAGGATTTTTATTATACTTGGTGAAATGAAGCTTTGAAAATAGGATTATGTCTTCAGGATTGAAAAAAATTTGGATTTTTTTTTATACAAATGAACCAAAATTCGTTGATTTTTTGTCACTGATGAATATGAATGAGGGATCATCCTTGGATCTTTGATTTTAACATTTTACGTGTGGAATATGAAATTATGTTGATAATGAGTGGTTTTGAAAAAAAAATAAAACAATATTTAGTATCCAAAATTTTTTTCATTAAAAAAAATTGAAAAAATTTCATTTTTATTCAAAAAATTGATGAAATTTCATTCATTTTGATCTACAATTGCTGTCAAATTCACAATCAAATTGTTTCAACAATGTGGGTTTTTCGGACAAAATGTAAAAATACTTCTCTCTCCAGAATTTTCACTACTGCAAAACAGATCTTTTAATATTTCATCTCAAAATTCCTTGTTTTTTAAATAAATACACAATTATAGAAAAACATTCTATTGACAGCGATATAAAATTAATTCATGAATGTTTTTACGATTGTAGAATACCATTTTCCTCTCTATAATTGACATTGTTATTTTTTCAATTTTCAAATAAATAAATAAATCAATTAATTAATTGATCGATCAATTGATAATAATAGGGAATCATTAGGGTTCTCCAAGAATGATAATGAATAGAGATACTGAGGTAATTAATATTTATTTATAATTGAATTGAACAATGTAGTAATTGATTCCACCAACTGCAGCAAGAATTATTTCGTTCATTCCGGTTGTTTCCTTCATCAAACATTTGTAAATCAATAACTAGATTGGCCGACTAGTAACGCTGATGGAAGTTGGCTGGCTGGGCTGACTGTGCAGTTGAATAAACCATACCGGGTGGCTGTTGATGAGTCATTGTGTGAGTCTGATGTTGATGGAACTCCGGTGCACCGTGAGGACCATTCAGTCGTACTCGTTTTGGATTTTGACCGTGACTGTGTTCACTATTACCTTGTTGTGGCTGAGTCGGCTGTTGCTGCTATTTTTAGAATGATTTTTCATGGAATTACAAACGATTTCCATTTTTCGATCTGTTTTTTAATCAGTACTTTAACATCGACACTGCATTTCCTTGACGAAATAATCTATTAGACATAATTCTATGAAACTGGAATGGACTAAGCCATTACACATTGTGCAATCTGAATTCCACTTTTACGAAATTTTATGGAAAAACCTAGGGAATTTGATAGGAAATTCTATTGGAATTCTATTGAACAATTCGGCAGTTTTATTGTGTTTTTGCTTCCAAATCGAAGCTGTCTAATCGCGTAAATTTAAATTTCTAATTTTTTGTGTTAGAATAACTAAATATGGTCGAAAAAGACCGAATATGCGACTTTTAGATGGTGTCTAAACAGCTAAAAAATGATGATTTTACGATTTTAAGGCCCGGGTGTACTATCTTTCGAACGTTATCTCGATGTTTTTTTCATCTTTCATCATCTGAAATTGTTAATTGAGTCCTGCATCATGCAGAAGTTTTGAAAAATTATGAATGAATAATCAAAAAAAAGTAGAAGAAATTCTCAATTTTTTCAAAGAGCATTTTTTATTTAGGTTCAGAATAAGTTGAATAACAAGAAATTGAAAAATATATCTGATTTACGATGACAAATGGCGGCCTGTCACCCAATACCATGCAGGGGGAAGACTGATTTTGTAAATCTTTTCCCACACTGCACAGAGACATTTATTGCGGAAAAGGCTCTTTGAAAAAAGTTGTAATATTTTGGAGAATGTTTTAATCACATTTTTATCACACAAAAATGGCAGATGACTACATATCACTGTTTTGAAAATTGAGATACCTAGCTGTCACTTCCCATGAGGAGTTGGTGTTTCGTTATCCACCATGGAAAATGACAGCTAATAGATAATTTGCCACAGTGAATCAGATATTTGTAATTTTCACTTTTTTCAACTCATTCTGAATCACAATTAAAAACGCTCTTTGAAAAAGTTCAGTTTTTTCCATTTTTTTATCATTCTATCATAATTTTTGGGAATTTCTACATGATGTACCACTCAATTGACAATTTTGGATACGAGAGAAAAAAAAAATCCAGATATTATTCGAAAGTTAGTACACCCGGGCCTTAAAGTAAGATTTCCAAAGGTCTTGATTTGAAAGCTAAAAGTCCTAAGTGAAGTGTTTCTGAAGTCTTAATTTGAGACTTTGAGATTTCAATTTAAGGATGTTTATCCAAAATAGTAAGTACTTAAAAAAATGATTTTTTTTTTCAACTGAGAGATGAAGCTATTCCCTTCACTTTGATAAAAATTTCGATCCACCAACCCATGTTTATTATTTAGAAATGAAATAGATAAAATGCACCAAATGCATGCGCTAAGATGCGCTTATATGGAATAGAAGCATTCAAATATTTCCTCTTTTTGCCCGGGTACCCCAGATTTTTCTCTGGCCATTGGATTCAGTATGATTTTACACATTACCTTCTATTTTTATTTCTATGTTTAGAGTCTTCAAGTAGGTGAATTATCAATTTGAACATAAATTTCATAAGAGCCCGTGTATAAGGAAAAATTAGTTTATTCATTTCTGCCGAGACTATTGCGATTAATTTTTTTTAACGTTAGAAAAGATAGTTTTATATGTTCCGCTGTCGGCCGAAAAAATTACAGAATTTTCCTTGACCAAGAAAAAAAACACAGTTACCGACAATTTACCGGCACTGGCTAAACATCCTTAGGGGGTAACAGAAGGCTGCCGTTTCCTCGAAATTTTCACACAAATTTCCTGCTCAAAGTTATTAATATTTTGTGAACCCAAAGCAAATTGATCTTCATTATCGCTTCCTGGAGATTAATGTACTTGGATTTGCAAAAACAAAAACGATAACTTTCAGCAGGAAAACTGTTCAAAAAATTGGAAAATCAGCGGCATTCTGTTACCCCCTAATAAGCTCTATTCATTGACACAAATTAAAATTCAATTTTCCATACAAATTCAAAAAATTGATATTTTTCAAAAAATCTATTTTTCAACGATCACTCAAAAAATTGTCATCAAAATGGAATTAGTCATGGCTCAAAAAATTGATAACAATAGGGAACTTGCACGAATTGTTTTCAATTTCCTAATCTCAAGTTTGGGACCTGAATAATTCGCCGGTGTGGAATGCTACGCCGGTGTCAACGTATGCCATTAGTTAATTCACTCATTGATTCATCAATTGATGATTAATTACCGTTTGTTGTTGATTTTGTCGAGCTTTGTTCTCCGTCTTCTCTTCAGTATCATCATCAGTCAAAAATTCCCGTTTTGGATAGGGAATTGGACAACCAGCAAAAATGCTAAACAATCGGTCAGTTCAATCCATTTGTACGAAAACTTCATTGCGAACTGATTATGCATGAAAAATTTATTACTTACTCTTGCGTTGGCAGTGGTTCCTCTTGGAAGTAGGCATCCTGCATCGAGTGTTCCGAAGTTATTCGCTTATTAGGATCCATCATCAGTAATTTTTGTAACTGCAACATCAACAAAATAAAGTTTACAATTTATTTCATAAAATTTAAATGAAATTAGGACTGTTAATGGTTGATCATAATGAAATGTTATTTGAAATAGTTATTTTGAGTAGATTATTCTGCCTGAGTAAATAGTATTTCCGTTTCGTTCCATTATTCGACTATTTTGAAGAATACAAAATAGAAAAGAAGATTTTTCCAAATAATATCTCCAGTCACTAAATTTATTGCGCCGAGATTGAAAAATTTTATTGGAAAGATAGATTTAGTCTTAAAAAAAATTTTTTTTTGTGGAAGCAACAATTTATATTACTCACAAATATTACAAATAAAAATTCCCAAGTCATGAATGTCTTTATCTGTATAAAATCGTAAACCACAACTATTTTAAATAGTGTTCCTTCTGAATGAAATTATGTAAATACTATTTCATATTTTTACTTCTCTTTTCTTTCTTTCGTGGTCCAAAAATTATTCCAAATTGCGTTTTCCTGAGGCGAGAGTTCTATAAACTATTCTATTTATATTTATTGACTATGAAATACTAATTAATTATGCAATTAAACGATCCAAATATTTCAAATAGTTATTTTACTGAGCTTTTACAGTGAACTCACCAGGTTAAATGCTTTACTATCAGGTTTTATCTTATGTCGATCCATATACTTCGTCAACGAACAGTTGGCATAACTGCAAGCAAGAACAAAGCATTACACGAAACAATAAAAATGAAAAACCAGTGGGAAATTGCTTTTGTCTTCAAATAGCATAGCTATTTTTACTAATAAATTAGCAATACGCCTCCCTTAAATTAGAACGATTACAAAGCTTCCATTCGGTAGCAAAACTTTCAAATTCTACACTGAGAGAAAAACAGCAGTTTTCAAATCAGTCTTACTTGTGCCAAAAAATCGTTTGTGAAAAATCATCAAAAAGAACTATTTTGTGCTAAACATCTGAAGCTTGGGCCGAGATTGAAAAATTTTATTGGAAAAATAGATTTAGTCTTTTAAAAAAAATTTTTTTCTTTGTGGAAGCAACAATTGTAATTTTTAGCACTACTTCCTCGTTATTCAATGCTCCCATACGTATTTTGTTCGAGAGAAATGCTCGTTTTGTATGAAATGAGGGATAGTAGTTTGTCGTTTCAGCTACTCAATAATTACAGACAAAAATGAAGTCTTAAATGGAATAATAATGATATGACAGTAATTATTCATCTTGAAGACTTTCAAATTCGAACTGAACAATTATTTTTCCGGTAATTTTCAACTAACGATTTTATAGGTCACACAAGACTTGTTTGAGAACTTGTTCATTTTTCTCTCAGTGTAAATTGTCTTCAACAATGAACAAATTAACAAACAACAATCAACACTCACTTTGATCTTTTGAAGTCTTTAAGTAATGTGGGATGTTCTGGCATTTTCTTAATATCTTCCCAGTCTTTCTCCAGGGGAAATCCCATGACATTGAATATTCTGTGAAAGACATTTGAAAAAAAACATTCATGAACGACTCATAAATCTTCGATAACCCGATTCAATTCTGCTGGACTCACCGATCTAATTGTTCGTGATGATAAGGATTACTCGTTTTTATGTCCTCTTGTCTACAGTGAAAAATTGGTTCGGCAGTTAATAGTTCTGCAAATATACATCCTATCGCCCATATGTCTACAATCATCAAAACGAGAATTGATTGAGAGATATAAAATCTGCTAAACGAATAATAAAATAACGAGAAGGTATTTATACCAATTGCTTTTGTATAATGTCTCGCCCCTAAGAGTAATTCTGGCGCTCGGTACCAGAATGTCACCACCACAGGATCGAGGTCAGCTAGAGGTTTCAGCGGAGCATTGAATAATCTCGCAAATCCCATATCAGCTATTTTTACACGACCTCTCTCGTTTCCCTCTCCCATTACTAAAATATTCGCTGGTTTCTGGAATTCAAATCTGGTCTTAGCGCATTGAATTTTAACACGTGCGAAAAAATGTCATGGGGTCGGTTGCACCAAGTCCTGTTACACGGACGAAAAAATGTAATAGAAAAATCTATCGAATTCGTTAGGAAATTCTATTGAATTTCTATTGAACTGTTGAATAGAAAATATTCAGTAGAAAAAGTCAATAGAATTCAATTTTTCTATATAAGTTATTCTATTGAGATATTTTCTATAGAATTTCCTCGGCTCAAATTTTCCAAGTTTTTTCGTTTGACTTTCTTGATGAGAAGAAGAGAAAAATAGAATGAAAAAAACTTGGAAAATTTGAGTCGAGCAAATTCTGTAGAAAATATATGAAAAGAATAAGTTAGATAGAAAAATCAAATTCTGTTGACTTTTTCTACTGAATGTTTTCTATTGAACATGTCAATAGAATCAGCCAAAAACTAATAGAAAATTCAATGGAAATTCAATAGAATTTTCTAACGAACTCCATAGGTTTTTCTATTAAATTTTTTCGTGCGTGTAGCCAAATAAATCTTCAGAATAAATTTATGTCTTGAGTAAATTTATTCTACAGTTGGAAAATTTCAAGAATTCGTCGTAGAGTGCTTTCATTCAGCCATTCGGTTGTCAATATCGACTGAATACTTCAAAATCTTTAATAAAAAGTTATTTATTATTAAATGTGCCTATACTTCACAGTATTATTGGCAGATAGTGGTGATACATCGACTCACCGCATTTTTTGGGGAGATATCTTCGATGAAATTTCGATCAAAACTGATTAGCGAATTATTTTTATTTATTCCGATAAAGTTACAGAATTGTTTAACAGAATCCGCCAAACCTGATAGTATTTCAATAAATTTTTCTATCGAATTCGACAGGTTTTTCTGTGAAACCTTTTCGTGAGTGAATAAATGACAATGTCACTATCTTGATTTCAATTTCGATTGTGAAGATATGGAGTGACTTACCAAATCCCGATGGAGCACCCAATTGGAATGTAAATAATGTATACCATTCAATATTTGATATAAGAGTGATTTCACCATTCCCTTAGGTACCATCACCGGTTTTTTATTGGCTTTAGCTGCTCTGTGAAATTTGATTATATGCTGTGGACCAGAATTATAATTGGATATTAACGAGTTAAGAATTAAAACTCACAGGTGTTAAATAATAGAAACTTATGACTTTATAATTTATGAATTAGTATTTACTATAAATAATAGAAAATTATTGATGATAAATAATATTATTATTTATTACAAATAATAGAAACTTATCATTTTATAATCTATTTATTAAACTTATGTCATATGACATCAAAATTTTTTTTATCACAATTTATGCTCCAGTTTATTATTCACTGCAAGATCGCCCCACAGTTGGGTGATGCATAATTCTCATTATTGATAAATATTGAAAAAATAATAATTTTACCCATAGATCATGCTCTGCAAAGTCAAACAGCAGGGACACTTTGCGATCGTTATGAGAGAGAAACACACGAATCAGCGTTATCACATTGATATGCTTCAATTCCCTGAGTAACTGAAATAACAAATCAATGAATTAAAATTTCAATATGTCGGGATTTCGTATCAAACAGTGTGAGAAATAACCCACTGCTATTTCTCGACATGCTGACATGGACAGCCCAGTTCCCTCAATTTGTTTAAGACCGAAATCTTTCGTGTCTGGCCTAGATTTGAATTCTGCATCTGGAATTCTAAAAATACGACAAATATTCCGTTATTATTGTAATCAGAATGTTAGGATTACAATGAACATCAAATAAATAAAAATAATGAAGTGACTCGTGTGTATTATTAATTAATTAGAAAACTCACGTAACTTTACTATTCAATTCCATAACTAGACAATTCTATTGAAGTGTTCAATAGAAAATATTTTGTAGAAAAAATCAAACGAATTCGATTTTTTTATACGACTTATTCTATTGTGATATTTTCTAAAGAATTTCCTCGGCTCAAATTTCCCAAGCTTTTTTGATTGATTTTTTTGGATGAGAAGAGAAGAAAAATAGAATTAAAAAAATTAATTTAATTTAATAGAATTCAATATGTATATCGTGTAATTGGGTAAATGTTTTAAAAACTTCCATAATCTTGCGGTCACATCTCAAAAATTAATCGTTCAAAATTAATAGTTCATCCCCCAGTGTTTTCAAAACCCCATTAGATTGTCCCTACATTTTTCACTAAAACCGTTTGTTATCGTGATAATTGGAGACTTGAGGAGCTTCAATGATTCCTAAAAAAAATTGAATCTATATTTTTCCATAATTACCTCATTACCGAGTGATTTAAAAGAAAAAATTAAGAGCGATTTTTTAAATAAGAAATTAAACTTTTAAAAAATCCTTCTGACATTTCTTACTGAAACCACTGTAAAACTTCGAGTGTGTAAAAAAAACGAAGGGACTCCATTGCGTATAATAGTTCATATTGTCCAGAAAATGCAATGTCAATGTTAAAATATGCAGTTGCTTTATAAAAAAAAAAATCTCCGGAAGCATACCAAAGAGAATTGAATAATTGATATTTAATCTACATAATGATATTTCTCTNCAATGGAAATTCAATAGAATTTTCTAACGAACTCCATAGGTTTTTCTATTAAATTTTTTCGTGCGTGTAGCCAAATAAATCTTCAGAATAAATTTATGTCTTGAGTAAATTTATTCTACAGTTGGAAAATTTCAAGAATTCGTCGTAGAGTGCTTTCATTCAGCCATTCGGTTGTCAATATCGACTGAATACTTCAAAATCTTTAATAAAAAGTTATTTATTATTAAATGTGCCTATACTTCACAGTATTATTGGCAGATAGTGGTGATACATCGACTCACCGCATTTTTTGGGGAGATATCTTCGATGAAATTTCGATCAAAACTGATTAGCGAATTATTTTTATTTATTCCGATAAAGTTACAGAATTGTTTAACAGAATCCGCCAAACCTGATAGTATTTCAATAAATTTTTCTATCGAATTCGACAGGTTTTTCTGTGAAACCTTTTCGTGAGTGAATAAATGACAATGTCACTATCTTGATTTCAATTTCGATTGTGAAGATATGGAGTGACTTACCAAATCCCGATGGAGCACCCAATTGGAATGTAAATAATGTATACCATTCAATATTTGATATAAGAGTGATTTCACCATTCCCTTAGGTACCATCACCGGTTTTTTATTGGCTTTAGCTGCTCTGTGAAATTTGATTATATGCTGTGGACCAGAATTATAATTGGATATTAACGAGTTAAGAATTAAAACTCACAGGTGTTAAATAATAGAAACTTATGACTTTATAATTTATGAATTAGTATTTACTATAAATAATAGAAAATTATTGATGATAAATAATATTATTATTTATTACAAATAATAGAAACTTATCATTTTATAATCTATTTATTAAACTTATGTCATATGACATCAAAATTTTTTTTATCACAATTTATGCTCCAGTTTATTATTCACTGCAAGATCGCCCCACAGTTGGGTGATGCATAATTCTCATTATTGATAAATATTGAAAAAATAATAATTTTACCCATAGATCATGCTCTGCAAAGTCAAACAGCAGGGACACTTTGCGATCGTTATGAGAGAGAAACACACGAATCAGCGTTATCACATTGATATGCTTCAATTCCCTGAGTAACTGAAATAACAAATCAATGAATTAAAATTTCAATATGTCGGGATTTCGTATCAAACAGTGTGAGAAATAACCCACTGCTATTTCTCGACATGCTGACATGGACAGCCCAGTTCCCTCAATTTGTTTAAGACCGAAATCTTTCGTGTCTGGCCTAGATTTGAATTCTGCATCTGGAATTCTAAAAATACGACAAATATTCCGTTATTATTGTAATCAGAATGTTAGGATTACAATGAACATCAAATAAATAAAAATAATGAAGTGACTCGTGTGTATTATTAATTAATTAGAAAACTCACGTAACTTTACTATTCAATTCCATAACTAGACAATTCTATTGAAGTGTTCAATAGAAAATATTTTGTAGAAAAAATCAAACGAATTCGATTTTTTTATACGACTTATTCTATTGTGATATTTTCTAAAGAATTTCCTCGGCTCAAATTTCCCAAGCTTTTTTGATTGATTTTTTTGGATGAGAAGAGAAGAAAAATAGAATTAAAAAAATTAATTTAATTTAATAGAATTCAATATGTATATCGTGTAATTGGGTAAATGTTTTAAAAACTTCCATAATCTTGCGGTCACATCTCAAAAATTAATCGTTCAAAATTAATAGTTCATCCCCCAGTGTTTTCAAAACCCCATTAGATTGTCCCTACATTTTTCACTAAAACCGTTTGTTATCGTGATAATTGGAGACTTGAGGAGCTTCAATGATTCCTAAAAAAAATTGAATCTATATTTTTCCATAATTACCTCATTACCGAGTGATTTAAAAGAAAAAATTAAGAGCGATTTTTTAAATAAGAAATTAAACTTTTAAAAAATCCTTCTGACATTTCTTACTGAAACCACTGTAAAACTTCGAGTGTGTAAAAAAAACGAAGGGACTCCATTGCGTATAATAGTTCATATTGTCCAGAAAATGCAATGTCAATGTTAAAATATGCAGTTGCTTTATAAAAAAAAAAATCTCCGGAAGCATGCCAAAGAGAATTGAATAATTGATATTTAATCTACATAATGATATTTCTCTCCAAGAATTAATAATTTGAAATAGGGCATCCTCTAGTATTTTTAAATCCCCATATTTTTCACTAAAACCACTTATTATCGGGATAATTAGAGACTTGTTGATGGCCTTCAATGATTCCCAAAAAAAATCAAATCGACATTTTTCAGTATAAAAAGATGCTAACAAACGTTGTGAATGTTTCTTCAATTATATACACTTTCAATAATCTTGCGGTCACATCTTAAAAATTAATAGTTCAATATAGTTCAAAATTAATAGTCCATCCCCCAGTGTTTTCAAAACCCCATTAGATTGTCCCTACATTTTTCACTAAAACCGTTTGTTATCGTGATAATTGGAATGATTCCCAAAAAAAATTAAAGCTATATTTTTCCATAATTACCTCATTACCGAGTGATTTGAAAGAAAAAATTACGAGCGATTTTTTAAATGAAAAATTAAACTTTTAAAAAATCCTTCTGACATTTCTTACTGAAACCACTGTAAAACTTCGAGTGTGTAAAAAAAAACGAAGGGACTCCATAGCGTGTAAGTTCATATTGTCCAGAAAATGCTGTGTCAATGTTAAAATATGCAGTTGCTTTATAAAAAAAAAATCTCCGGAAGCATGCCAAAGAGAATTGAATAATTGACATTTAATCTGCATGACATTCTCTCCAACAAACAATCAGATTGAACAACATTGTGAGACATTTTTCACAGCCCTGAAGAATCCTCAAAATTCAGTTTCCTGAGAATTGTTTTGGGGAGCAATATTTGCCACGTTAGAGAGGATAAAGATTAGTGGCTAAAAAAATTGAAAGTGAAGCCAAAACTATTATTTTTACTATGAAATTAGGGAAGGGAAATTGTCAAAAAACCTAACCCCTCTTTCCGCCTGGCTTTGTAGACATGTCCATAAGTGCCTCGTCCCACTTTGCACCCCTCAAACTCAAACAAATCCTCAACTTTAGTCCTGTCTTTCTGTGTTTTTATTTTAAATTCGTAATCCATCATTGTTAATGTTTTATTGAGATAAATATCAGCTATTGGAGTCAGTGTTCTTCATTGATTCTAAGTCCACTTGACAATTCAATCACCGACGCACGGTATAGTGTGTGTATAGGTAAAATTCTGATTGGTTGCGCAGGAGCCGGATGTCCCAACAGCGAAAAATTCAAATCGGGGATGTGAAATAGGGAAATTGCATTAATTTTTTTCAATACTCTAATCTCAAGCTTGCGACCTGAATAATTCATTTTTCATTCACAAACGTTCGAAATATTGCTGATTAATTAATAATTAATTGTTGAAAGTTGATGGTTTCAAACGCTTTGAAGTCACTAATGACGTCACAGAGGCGGTCCAGTGCTGGACCAATCACGGAATGGCTCGAGCCGACGTAACCCAATCTTGAAGTGCGCCTCGGCCAATGGAGGACGACAACTCCCCACACTCTTCGTTTTCGACCAATGAAGTATTACCTGACCGTCTCTGTGACGTCATGACCTAAAAATTGGCTTCAAAAACGACGGATTTTCAATTAATTATCATGAGACATCTAGACAATAGTTCAGTAATAGCAAAGCGATAAAACGGTTCAAGTCCATTTTGGCTATTGGCTAGTTTCCAATGAATATCTCGGAATCTGAGGCAGATAGCAACATTTTTGTTATAACCTTTTTTGTAGAGCGAAATAAGAGCTACGAAAAAGGTAATCGCGAAAATTTCGCTATTTCCCTTAGATTGGGAGATATACCCCAATAACTCAGCTGAGAGCTAAGTCGACTTAAACCGTTTTATTACTTTTCAGCTTTCAGTCAACAATTGAATGGAATCGACCAAAAGTTGATAGAAAGTTCAATAGAAATCCAATAGACTTGTCTAGCGAATTCGCTACGTTTTTATGTGTCAAGTGACTCAGCTGGACAGTTGATTATGGAAAATGGCCCCAACTACACTTGTAATGAGTAAAAAACACGAGTTCTATTTACCGTAGTTTCATTATTTCAGTTAACGTTTAATTGTTTTTTTTACAAACAGGTACATGAAAAACTTAATTAAGACTGGTCCACTTCATTACGATTACAAATATCCGTTAGTTTCTCCAGAAACTTGTCCCTCTCACTTTTCGATTTCCCTATTCCTCAAGATGGATTTCACTAGCTCGAAAAGAGAGGTTCTTCCTGAGAGCTCTAGCTCATCATATATGATTCCATACTGAACATATTCGTCATTGCGATTCACACAAAAAAATTCTTTCACTTGTGAAAACTGAGTTTTCCTTTTCTTCTTCTCATTTTGATGAAACTCAAGAGTATTATATTTTATCAATACATGCGTAAAAATGAAATTACATTCTTTTAATTTTTTCCGAATAGAAATCTTCAACTCTGTGGCGAACATTATTTCAAACTCTTGCCCCCTGACATCCCCCACGTTTCATCATCCATATCTACAAGCATGACGTAATTCGATAGAAAACCTAGCGAATTCGCTAGAAAATTTTATTGGAATTCTATAGGAATTCTATGGGATTTCTATAGGATTTCTATTTGGAAATTCTATTTATTGTTTGCGCTAATTCTATTGAATATTCGATAAGATAAAGTCAATAGATTTCGAATTTCAGTTTGAATGTTCTCTTGAGATTTTTTCTATAAGAATGCTTGGGCATCAATTTTCTAAGTTTTTTCCACTCGCACTCTGTAATGCAAGACAAAACAAAATGCAGCGGAAAAAACTTGGAAAATTTGTGACCAATAATTTCTAACAGAAAAAATCTCAAGAGAAAAATTCGAACATAAATTCGAAATCTATTGACTTTTCCTTATCGACTATCCAATAGAATCAGCATAAAAAACCAATGGAATTTTCACTATAAGTCCTATAGAATTCCAATAGAATTCCAATACAATTTCCTAGCGGATTCCCTAGGCTTTCTATTGAATTTTTTCACACGTGTATGCCTTCGTTCTATTGCCTCTCGACCGCGGCAATTTGCCGGCAGAACTGCGTTCGTTCTTCTGCAGAATCAAAAACAACCCCGAGAAATTTGATGAAAAAAGATTTACGCGGTCGACTATAACCGTAAACCGTCGCTAGTTCCTTCAAGAATTCCCCCCTCCTGTCCTTCAACTCTCTATCCCTCAACATGAGATTCAACAACGCGACATTTCCCGATTCCCACAAATTACTCAGACTCTCCTTATAATCAATCGAACTCTTCAAATTCTGGGGATTAATCTCCCAAAGCCTGCAGAAAATCCTGTGATACTTGACATCATGTTCAACGAACTGATATTCTTTACAGTTGCACACATTTAGAAAAATACGTTCAACAATGGGGCCATAATCGATGGAGTCGTGATGAATCCAGGATTCCCTGAGCGTCTTCATGAATGAATTATCATAAGGCCACTCCAGCAGCTGCAGCAGCACAAACGCAGAGCCCAATATTTTAGCCCTGACATCATCAAACCCATAGCGAGACAACTGTTGCAGGAAAAACACGAGTAAATCACCCTTTATTCTCCTCTCTCTAAAGAACAAGTCCTTATACCCCTGCGCATTAGGATCATCAGAGACTATATTCTCACAGATCTTGGTGATTGTTCTCACTCTTTCCTGCTCATTCAACAAGCCCCAGAAATACTTGACCGCCCAGTACTGCTCACGTAGGAACGCATTGATGACCATATTCTCCTCAAGGGAAAAGGCTTCATCGTAAAATTGATCGGGTAGTTCTCGAAAGACAACGTCAATCGCATTTTCCACGTCGTCTCTCATACGAGCAGTCCAGTAAGCTGCAAGAATCACAGTGAACTCAGAGCGACAGGCAGTACCTCGTCGAAGGCTCCACTCTCCGTACTGAGTGAGATCCTCCACCTTGGGCCAGAGATCAGTGATGCAGTCCTCGAGACAGTAGTCGCAGAGCTCCTCCCGAGTGGCAAAATTCTCTCGAAGAACTCCCGCGAAATACAATGATCTCATTGTCTCAGCTCTATCCAGGGATCCCTCAGTCGTCCAGGAGACGTGGTTCATGCAATCGATGAGCTCGCATTTCAACAGGGAGTCCTCTGGGGCCAGACACATGTACGACTTAACTATTTCCAGTAAAAAAAGGCATATGTTGTACCCCATTGATCCCACTGCGAACTGCAGTTCTTCTTTCGCTGGCTCAGGGACTTCGAAATCGTCCATTGCTATCGATACAGCGAGGGGCAAGTGCTCTTCCCAGTTATCATCGTCGAGATAGGACTCCAGGTGCTTTCCCAAGTGTGAGTACTTCCACAGGTGTTTGGAAATTGCGATCGCTGCCAACCGGCAGAGAGTGGGGTCTGATGGCTGATCTGTTTCCATTTTTATGGGCTCATGGGTCCTAACTTGATTTTTTGGGAATATTTTTATGGCGTCAGGAACGTTTGGTGAGGAAGTCACCTGGGAAAAGATCAGTTGAGCTGGGAATTAGTTTTTTAAGGAATAATGACGATTGATGGGATTAGGGTTCAGTGTCTCACGGACGAAAAAATTTAATAGAAAAACCTATCGAGTTCGTTAGGAAATTCTTTTGAATTTCTATTGAACTGTTCTGTTAGTTTCTGGCCGATTCTATTGAAATGTTCAATGGAAAATATTTAGTAGAAAAAGTCAATAGAATTCAATTTTTCTATGTAACTTATTCTATTGAGATATTTTCTATAGAATTTCCTCGGCTCAAATTTTTCAAGATTTTTCGTTTGATTTTCTTGATGAGAAGAAAATAAAAATAGAAGGAAAAAACTTGGAAAATTTGAGTCGACAAAATTCTATAGAAAATATATGCAGAGAATAAGTTATACAGAAAAATCGAATTGTGTTAACTTTTTCTATTGAATTTTTTCTATTGAACATGTCAATAGAATCAGCCAAAAACTAAAAGCCAAAAACCTATCGAGTTCGTTAGGAAATTCTATTGAATTTCTGTTGAACTGTTCTATTAAACAGAAAAAAGGAAGTTTGAAAGTTTGATAGAAATTCCATAGAATTTTCTAACGAATTCGACAGGTGTTTCTAGTAAATTTCTTCGTGCGTGCTTCCCTGTGTGAATACAAATAAGCAGTGACTTACGGTGTTGCTCAACTCTCGTCGCGGAGATTATTGAATAGGAATGTTCCTGCTGTTTTGAGAAATTCAGGGAGTTTGATGGAATTGTCGAGGACTCTTTTGTTTTTATGAAGTATTTGTCTGTATACTTCGGGGATAAACACTGGAAGTTAACATCGCAGACGTTTTCATTCGCTTGTTGATGTTTCTGGGAAGGTCTGTGCGACAGGGAACTGTGGGAACTCGCCTTGTCTTTACTCGAAACGCGGGACATTTGAGTGGAGAATATGACTTTTCTATTGAACCAGAGATAGGAGTGATAGCCACATTCGTAAATTATAACAAGTGGGTAATTGTTCCTGTATTGAGTATAGTTTAGTTATTTTTGGTAATAAATTAGTAATATACTTCCGAATGGTCGTTTTGCTTATTTTTTTCCATTGTATATTGTTCATGGCCTATTTTATTTTCTTGAATTGAATCAATTTCTTTCCAAACAATTGTTTTAGATTTTCCAGTTAATAAAATTCTAAAAATTTCTGAAAATTTCTATGAAATATTATCAGGAATATTTCATTCATGCATAATTGAATGCATTCGAAACATCACATTTAAAGGAACCATCAGAAAGCTAACCTTCCGGGGAATTCATGAAAAATTCGAAGTTTCTAAAAATTATCCTAAAAATCAAATTCACCGGGACAGTTATTGTAACCATCTTCTACCTTCGATGTAGTCGCATAGAAACAAACATATTAAGCTATGATTGAATTCATCTCAAGCGCAATATCCAGAGATATCTGCGGAATTCTGATTTTCGAAAAATACGAAATTTAGGAAAAATTTCCCAGAAATCAAAATGACGATTATTGCTATCGCTTTCATCTCCGAACTCGGTCAAAAGGACATTCCAACGATTTTTTTAAGCCGTCATTCAATGAATTTAGAACATGTTTTTTAGTTATCGTCTTACAACTGAATTTTGAAAAAAATCGAAAATTAAAAAAATGAATCAATGAATTAAATTTCAATTAATGGCGATGAATAGGGCTTAGCAATACCCACACTTAAGAAAAAAAAAGATTCAATTTCATTTATTCATTAGCGAGAAATTGAAGAAAAAGTTTGTTACATACACACATTTCATACGAACGTACGGATACCGTCTAAAAAATGTATTTTCGACTTTTGGGATCATAATGGGTCGATATAACACAAAAAAAGGAAAACTTGAATGTGAACGATTACAATGCTTTCATTTAGAAGCAATTGGCGTTAAATTATTAAGTAATCGGTTAGTTAGTATTATTCTTGAATTTTAATTATTGAAGATTACTTCAATCCGGATTATTTCGGTTTTCATCAATTTTTAAATTCCAATTCCGAATTATTTATTAATCAGTGATTTAGTTAGGAAGATTGACGATTATTTGGATGACTAGCGCCCTAAATTCTTTCAGAAAATCTAAAAGAGATCAGATCACTCACTACATCAGATCCTCATTCAATAAATTCCAAGAAAAAAACTAGTTCTGCGCTTTCGCGACCAATTCGATTTGCCCCCTGAACCACTCTCGCTCTTCCTTCGAGCTAATAACTAGCGCCATAAATTCTTCCAGAAAATCCACATCAGTGCTTCCACGTCCATGAATCTCGGCGATTCTATTTAGAAACTCCTTCCTCCTTCCCCTCAATTCCTCATCCTTCAGGATGTGATTAATTACCCCGACCTCTCTCAACCCCCACAGCAGATTAAAATCATCATGATAATCAACAGAATCCTTCAAATTCCTCGGGTTTATCTTCCAGAGTTCATAAAAAATCCTGTGATACTTGACATCCCGAGGGAGAAACTGCTGCTGATCGCAAACATTCCTAAAAATCCACGAAATTATCGGACTGTAATCGAGGGAATCGTGGTGAACCCACGATTCTCTGAGCAGCTCCATGAATAATTCGTGATAAGGCCAGTCCAACAGCTGTCTGAGCACGAACCCAGAGCCCAATAGTTTAATCCTCACATCATCAAGACCATAATCCGATAATTGTTGCAGAAAAGACATGAGTAAGTCACCGCTCATTCCGTCCCTCATAAATAACAAGTCCTTGAACCGTTTCGTCTCATTCTCTGATCCTCATTCAATAAATTCAAAAAAAAACTCTAGTTCTGCGCTTTTGCGACCAATTCGATTTGCCCCCTGAACCACTCTCGCTCTTCCTTCGAGCTAATAACTAGCGCCATAAATTCTTCCAGAAAATCCACATCAGTGCTTCCACGTCCATGAATCTCGGCGATTCTATTTAGAAACTCCTTCCTCCTTCCCCTCAATTCCTCATCCTTCAGGATGTGATTAATTACCCCGACCTCTCTCAACCCCCACAGCAGATTAAAATCATCATGATAATCAACAGAATCCTTCAAATTCCTCGGGTTTATCTTCCAGAGTTCATAAAAAATCCTGTGATACTTGACATCCCGAGGGAGAAATTGCTGCTGATCGCAAACATTCCTAAAAATCCACGAAATTATCGGACTGTAATCGAGGGAATCGTGGTGAACCCATGATTCTCTGAGCAGCTCCATGAATAATTCGTGATAAGGCCAGTCCAACAGCTGTCTGAGCACGAACCCAGAGCCCAATAGTTTAATCCTCACATCATCAAGACCATAATCCGATAATTGTTGCAGAAAAGACATGAGTAAGTCACCGCTCATTCCGTCCCTCATAAATAACAAGTCCTTGAACCGTTTCGTCTCATTCTCTGATCCTCATTCAATAAATTCAAAAAAAAACTCTAGTTCTGCGCTTTTGCGACCAATTCGATTTGCCCCCTGAACCACTCTCGCTCTTCCTTCGAGCTAATAACTAGCGCCATAAATTCTTCCAGAAAATCCACATCAGTGCTTCCACGACCATGAATCTCCGCGATTCTATTTAGAAACTCCTTCCTCCTTCCCCTCAATTCCTCATCCTTCAGGATGTGATTAATTACCCCGACCTCTCTCAACCCCCACAGCAGATTAAAATCATCATGATAATCAACAGAATCCTTCAAATTCCTCGGGTTTATCTTCCAGAGTTCATAAAAAATCCTGTGATACTTGACATCCCGAGGGAGAAACTGCTGCTGATCGCAAACATTCCTAAAAATCCACGAAATTATCGGACTGTAATCGAGGGAATCGTGGTGAACCCACGATTCTCTGAGCAGCTCCATGAACAATTCGTGATAAGGCCAGTCCAACAGTTGTTTGAGCACGAACTCAGAGCCCAATAGTTTAATCCTCACATCGTCAAGACCATAATCCGATAATTGTTGCAGAAAAGACATGAGTAAGTCACCGCTCATTCCGTCCCTCATGAAAAACAAATCCTTGAACCGTTTCGTCTCAGGATCACCAGACGAAATTCTCTCGCATATTCCAACGATCATTCTCATCCTCTGATCCTCACTCAACAAATCCCAAAAAAATTTAACCGCCGAATACTTCTTCCGGAGGAACGAATTTACGAACATATTCTCCTCCACCGAATAGCTGCGCTCATAAAAGTGATCTGTTATTGTTTCGAACATATCGATCACAATTTCCCGATTATTCTGCACACGTCCGCTCCAGTAAGCGGAGGAAAGTGCATCGTACGCCAATTCGGTGAAGAGCGCCTGATTCCTCCAATTTTGGAATTGATCCACGTTCGATATTTTGAGCCAGAGATCTTGCACGCAGTCTTCGAGGCAGTGGACACAGAGCTCCACCCACGTAACGTGATTTCGTGGGAGAATTCCGGAGAAGTAGAGTGATCTCATTGTTTTGGATCGATCGATACATCCGTGGTTAGTCCAGCGGACGTGGTCCACAAAATCGCTGGGCTTCGATGAGGACCCTGAGTCGTCTGCAGGAACACCGCAATACACCCATTGAAAATCTTCAGATACCTTGTTTTGAAATGAAGAAAAACAATTCGATCATATTAATTAATCGTAATACAGTCGAAGCTTCATATAAAATACCTCTCGGCATGATTACGATTCCTTTGGCGCCAAGATTGAATGCAGGTTTTCCGTACCAAATTTCCCGAGGATTACGATAAAAATAATGAAAAAAATACATGTCCATTATTTCTCCTGAATTCAGTAGCGAAGAGGTAAAACTGTTTAAGGGGAGACTACTGTGAGTTTTAAAAGTCGTGGGTTATTGGAGTGAGACTTTTCATACGTTAAAGATCGATTATATAGATCTGAAAACTAGTAATTAGTGCAAAAAAATTTTTTTTTATTGTTCGTTTGCCCGAAAACGCTTAAAATGCTAAAAACAGTCCAGGGTCTCCAATTTTTGAGCTACAAAAGATTTGTTTTTTTCAAAATTTTCGAGAAAATGTGTGGAACAACAATTACCAGTCAGTTTTTTTGAATTCGACTTCTACACAGCTGATTTTTTTTTTCATATAACAAAATTCGATATTTGTGTAAAAAAATACAAAAAAAGGAAATTTAGCCGTGTAAGAGGTGAATTAAAAAAAACTAGCTCGTAATTGTTATCCCACACATTTTTCCGAAAATTTTGAAGAAAAAAAATCATTCGTAGCTCAAAAATTGGAGGCCCTGGACTGTTTTTGGCAATTTAAGCGTTTTCGGGCAAACGAACAGTAAAAAAAAATTTTTTTTGCACTAATTATTCATTTTCAGATCTATATAATCGATCTTCAACGTATGAAAAGTCTCACCCCAATAACCCACGACTTTTAAAACTCACAGTAGTCTCCCCTTAAGGATGTTCGACACCCTTTTAGCCAAAATTGACGTTGTTTTCATTTTTCTGGCAAATTATCGATGGGAGTGACGTGAAAAAATATAACGATTTTGTGGTTTGTCATTCTTTAATGGCTCACGAAATTGCGTAATGGTGCGATAATTTTCATGCGTTTTTTCGACAGTTTTGTAATTCTTTTTAAAAGTTTAGAGAAAACGCAGGAAAATGTTCGCACCACCTTAAAATTTCGTCAGTCATTAAATAATGACAAAACGCAAAAACGTTATATTTTTTCACGTCAATTCCATCATAAGTTTGCCAGAAAAATTAAAAAAACGTGAATTTTGGCAGAAAGGGTGTAGAACATCCTTAAGTCAACTTAGCTCTTAGCCGAGTATTCGACGAATATCTTCGAATGTAAGTGAGATAATGAAATTATCGTAATGAGATTGTTTAGAGGGGCTAGTTTAGGGTTGATTGTGGGAAATGGTTTTAAATGTGAAGGCTCGAAATGATGAAATTCACTGATTATGAAACACCGCATTTATTAGTGGAATCGAACTGCTTCGTTGATTAAATATATACATTTAATTCAGTCTCTTTCACTATGGTTGAGTTGCTGAGTTGACAAACCACTGTTGATTCACTGATAAACTGTCTGTGCTAATTGTCATTGATAATTACTTCAACGGTTGTATTTAAATATGGAAATATACTTTACACGTTGAGAGGAAAAGTAAAGGAGGGGAGGCAGGCTAGAGGAGGGGTTTCAAATCGAGAACTACTTCGATAAAACCAATGAAATAGAAAAATAGTATATTTCGTAACGACTGCAAAAAAGTGTTTTTTGCACTCGTTACGAAATAAAAAAATATTTTTTCACGAGGTACGAACAATATTTTTCATCAAAATGTGGCGGAAATTGGACTTGTAGGCACGCGGAGCGTGCCGAAAAGTTCACTTTTCGTCACAGCGTGATGAAAAAAATAGTATATTTCGTAACGAGTCCAAAAAAGTGTTTTTTGCCGAGTGGGAGGTTTATATCACGAGCCGAAGGCGAGTGATATAATCCCACGAGCTAAAAAACATTTTTTCACGAGTTACGAACAATATTTTTCATCAAAATGTGGCGGAAATTGGACTTTTAGGCACGCGGAGTGTGCCGAAACGTTCCCTTTTCGTCACAGCGTGATGAAAAAAATAGTATATTTCGTAACGAGTCCAAAAAAGCGTTTTTTGCCGAGTGGGAGGTTTATATCACGAGCCGAAGGCGAGTGATATAATCCCACGAGCTAAAAAACATTTTTTCACGAGTTACGAACAATATTTTTCATCAAAATGTGGCGGAAATTGGACTTTTAGGCACGCGGAGTGTGCCGAAACGTTCCCTTTTCGTCACAGCGTGATGAAAAAAATAGTATATTTCGTAACGAGTCCAAAAAAGCGTTTTTTGCCGAGTGATATAATCCCACGAGCTAAAAAACATTTTTTCACGAGTTACGAACAATATTTTTCATCAAAATGTGGCGGAAATGGGACTTTTAGGCACGCGGAGTGTGCCGAAAAGTTCACTTTTCGTCACAGCGTGATGAAAAAAAAAAATACTTTACACGTTGAGAGACGCAGCGACGCAGTATTGCCTTCCGTCAATACTGTTCTAACACGTTGATAATTCACTGCTGATGTATTAATTCTGACACTTAGTCACTGGGTGTCACTTAGGTGACACTGCCTTCGTTGATTGCGTTTTTAACTGAAAATTCTTTTGTTGCAGATTTTTTTGACTGCACTGACAGACAGGATTAGTTATTGTTAACGAACGGATTTGGTTGGAGGCGAGAGTCTATTCGGTTTCACCAAATCTTCATTCGGTAACAGTTAACGAATCTCGTTTGGAATAAATGAATCAGTGTGTATTTTTACGATTATTATTGCAATTTTTTTAGAAAACAAATTGAATAAAAAAATCTGCAACAAAAAAATTGCATTAAAATTGAGTTTTGTTGTTTTGATGTTGTAAATATAATCATTGAATTCAAATGCGAGAATGTTAGCGCATGAATTGAAATGTCAAGTACCTATACGAAGGTTTATGGAAATGTTCGTATCTTGAAATAGTATTTTTCCGGCCTGTTGCGATGGGGTTTTTTACTCGTGTGGTTGGCCACTCCTCGCCTACGGCTCGGAGACCAACGCCACACGAGTAAAAAAACCCCATCGCAACAGCCCAGGAACAACATTTTTCTGTAGTGATTTTCAAGTTTTCGAGTTTGGGAAGTATGTAATACCAATTCCCAGACGAGAAATCGTGAGAAGCAGTACAGAAAAATAAGGATTGTAATGCTTATAGGGTAAACTGCCCAGTAGATGGACGCCTAAGAAAACTGCCCACGTAGATGGACGTTTGTTTTTTAGCAATTGAAAAAAAAATTGATCGAAAAAAAATCGTCACTCAGGGGTTAAGAATCACAACAGTTAGTGAAAATGCAAAGCAACAATTCACATTTCAGTATATTTTGCGTAATTTCCTATCTATAAGTAGCTCGTCCATCTATAGGGCAGTGTCCATCTACTGGGTAGCTTACCCTATTACAAAAACTAATTGAGAGGGAATTTTCCCTTTAATTTTCGCGTATTCCTGAGGAAAAATGGTACGGAAAATATATGTCAAATAGTGGCGCCGAAGGAATCGTAATCTTCACAACGATTACGATCTTCTGAACGATTACAATTCGGAAGCAAAAAGATGATTTCATTCGGAACCAAAAAGTGAATAAAATTTGAATTCGGAAAATGCAATCAATACATTTGGGATCAACTGACACTGGAATTTCGAATAACATTAAACTATACATTAAACCATATCTGCGATCCCATAGTTCCCACTGCAAACATGAGTTCTTCCTTGACCGGTTCAGGGACGTTAAGATGATCTATCAAACTGGTTATAGCCGCGGGCATCAGATCCTCGGGGCTTGTATCCTCGTCTATATGGGACTTCAAGAGATCTTTCAAGTGCGAATGCTTCCACAGGTATTTTGAAATTGAGATTGCCGCCAATCGACGGAGAGCGAGATCCAGTTGATACTTTCGCATTCTGCAGTTTCATGAGGTGGAGCCTATTCTCTTGCGAATATTCTGATGATATTTCCGTTCGTTGGAGATCGCGCCTGCAATAAACATCATGGATTGAGTCATGAGTTTTCCTGGGTACGAACAAATATTAAGAAATTCGATATTTCTAGAGAGATGATCGGTAATTTACCTTGATTTTATTTTTTTTAATTTCTCTTGCGAAGATGTTTTATGCTGATGTTTTCCGGGCAGAATTGGATTGTATGTGGATTTCTAGTTTTTATTTTATACGGGGAAATACAGGAGCTACGTCAGGAGAATTTCATTCACCTGTTGATACTTCCGCGACTGATGTGCGCATGCGTAAGAGCAAATGAAACGTACCATTTCCCATTTTTTAGGGGGCAGTATAGTATGAAATCAATTATACGTATCAATTATATGTATGGAAAAATTTCTCAGGAAAATTAGTTAGATATTTTATTTGATTTCTATTGAAATGTCTATTAGTTTTTGGTCAATTTTGTAGAAAGATGTCGTACGTTTCTTTGCGCTTTTTTTGAATAAGAGTTCAATGGAAAATATTCTATAGATAAAGTTGATAAAACTCGATTTTTCGATGCAATTTATTGCATTAAGATATTTTCCATAGAAACTCCTCGGCTCAAATATCCTACGATTTTTGTTGAATTGTTTTAATGAAAAGAAAATAAGTAGAATGGAAAAAACATTAGAAAATTCATGTCGGAGAATTCTTATAGAAAATGTCTCAATAGAAAAAGTTGTACAGAAAGAATGAATTCCACGCGGAGACACCATTCTATTATATGCAAAAAATAAAGGGTTCTATCTTCACGGTCAAAAATAAAAATTTTTTGGACTGCAAAAAAATGTAATCGTCCGTAATTCGTCCTTTGCTTATTTTCAGTGGTTCCACCAATACAAATTGAAACAACATAAAATTTTAATTTAGAGACTAATGGGGAAAAATGGACACTTTTACCTTTTTTTGAAATGTCAATAGCTCATTTTACTTCAATGAAATGGGATAATTTTTTTCCAATTACCCGTAATTTGTTTATTATTATATTTTTTAATTCTAATTCTGGCAGAATTTAGGCGATGCTTTTCGCTGATTTTCTCTTTAAAAAAGAATTCTAATTTTCTTTGAATTTTATTTATTAGAATGATGCAAAAAAATGCGGTCGTCCCCAATTCATCTTTTACTTATTTTCAGTTCTTGCACTGATGCAGACTGAAACAACAGAAAATTTGAATTTAGGGGCTAATGGGGCAAAATAGACACTTTTGACTTTTTAAAAAATATCGATAGCTCGAGTAATTTTCAATGAACTGGGATCATTTTATTTCCATAAACAGGGCAATTGCTTCTCTTCTGACGTCAATTAATGAATTTATTCCTGAGTTATGAACATTAGAAAAACATAAAAATAAGAGAATTAAAAAAATAAATAAAATGATAAAATGAATGTTAATTTTACTCCTCCTGCCCCTACCTGTTGATACTCAACGTATGCGCGAACGAAACCTGTCGATCGAGGGGGGAGGGGGTCGTTTGCATAATCTCAAATGAACATTCCATTTTGGAGAAGCCTTGGCAGAAAGAGACTTGGGCTAGAAGGAGATGTGGCAATGCATCGAGAGAGGGTAAAGGCGGCTATATGGATACCAAATGCCGGTCATGCAATGACTCAATACACTGATAGAACGGTTTAGTTATTGTTAACGAATGGATTTTCATTGGAGGTTAGGGTCTATTCGGTCCCACCAAATATTCATTCGTTAATAGTTAACGAATCTCGTTTGGAATAAATGAATCATTCTATCAGTGTAGAATCTTTGGAGCACGCAATAAGCTGCGAGCTGGTGATGAGAAGACTGAAAGCACTAATTAGTAACATTAAATGCCCTAAGCAGGAGAAGTAAATGTACCGTTATGTGTAGGGCTAGCTAAGATGGAGAAAGTGTTGAGAGATATTACGGTGAAAAGAAATTTTAAGAAACTAGAAATTGCACAAATACTCAAATGTGATACTGTGATATTACCATCAGTTGTTATACCTTACAGACATTACTGACATAAATAGTATATTTCGTAACGAGTGCAAAAAAGTGTTTTTTGGCGAGTGGGAGGTTTATATCACGAGCCGAAGGCGAGTGATATAATCCCACGAGCTAAAAAACATTTTTTCACGAGTTACGAACAATATTTTTCATCACAATGTGGCGGAAATTGGACTTTCAGGTACGCGGAGCGTGCCGAAAAGTTCACTTTTCGTCACAGCGTGATGAAAAACAATTTATTGCAGTGTTATTGGAGATACTTGTTGATTGGCTTGTGTAGATGTAAAACTGTAACAGTAGCATCAAGGAAATAAAGTATTCTATTCATTCCATTTTGAACATGTTCAAGGGGAAATGGCGACAGTACGGGATATCCTCTTTGAACGACCCCCCTCTCCCGAACGATCGAGTTGTTTTCCGCGCCTTTCCCAGATTAGGGCGCAACCGGCGCGATAAAACAATCGCAGTAGTCGCGAAAACGAGATTTAAGTCGTCTATAGGTTAGACGCATAAAACATTCGTCTCAACCAAAATACTTCAACTGTTTCAACGAAAATTTCAATGACAAGTTCGTTGATCAATTCCCCATCGGCGACTAATGATCCTCGAATATGAATGTTGTTGATGAGTATCAGTTGAATGTGTGGAAGGGAGACTGGGGCCTACCGTCTGTGGATATTCCGTGTCTGCAAGTTCTGGTGAGTATTGAATCATATGTTTGTTTAATCCTCTGCGAGTTGAGCGAATTGTTGTTGATGTATTGATGATGCGTCCGGTGGTTCCAGGCCTATGCTAAATTCAGCGGAGTACCGCTGACAGTGAATCCAACGAGCAATCCCTTCAGAACTCCTCGTGGCCACTTACCGGTACTCAAATGTGGGGTCAATTCACTCGATTCAATCCAAGACATCATTCAATTATTTCGCAAACGGAATTACAATGCAGACTTCCATTTATCACCTAAACAATGCTCCGAGGTTCTCGGTTATGAGTACATGCTCAAGGAGAGTCTGTATCCAGCTGTTCAATTTATATGGTGAGTGGAGATTGATATGTACAGTAATAAAATGATGCACGAAAAAATTTAATAGAAAAATCTGGAGAATTTGAAAGACAATTCTATTGGATTTCTGTTGAAACTGTTCTGTACGAAAGGCAATAGAATTTAATTTTTACTGTACAACTTACTCTGTTGCGATATTTTCTATAGAGAATTTCGTCGGCTCCAATTTTCCATGTTTTTTTCGTTCTATTTTTGTTTTCTTTCCGTCAAGAAAATCTACCAAAAATTCTCTAGAGAATATCTGAAAAGTATAAGTTATATATTTAAATTCAAATTCTACTGATTTTTTTAATTGAATTTTCTATAGAATTTCCTATTCTAATCTGTGGAATTATCATCTATTTCTATCCTAAATCTATGGGATTTTCTATTAAATTTTGGTGTGCGTGATGCATTCAAATCTCATCCTGAAATTTAATTGATATAGGAAAAAGTTGCAAAATCGTTCTTCTTTAAACGTGGTTATCTTGAGATTGGGAGAGTGACTGCAATTTTTTTTTTGCTTTTTGAGCCCAAGGTCGAAATTTATTTTTAAACTCCAAGATGAGAGCGATTTCATCCAAATCGTATGATTTTGTTGGCAGATATTGAAACACCAGCGAGGAAATTTTATAAAAATACCTCGCGAATTCTATAGAAAAGTCTATTGAATTTCTGTTGAACTTTCTATTATCTGCGTGTTTTTTCCTAAGAAACGTTCACTGGAAAATATTCTTTAAGAAAATCTATAGAGTCAGATTTTTCTATACAATATATTCTATTGAGATATTTTCTATATAAATTCCTTGTCTCCATTTTTCCAGGTTTTTTGGTTTTATTTTTTCTGTCAAAAAAGAAGAAAAAAGAGAAAAAACAGAATATTCGTGTCCAGGAATTCCTATGGAAAATGTTTCAATAGAAATCTTATATTGAAAATTATATAAAATAGTTTCCGTTGGACATTTTCTATGAAAAACGCGCAGTAAAGCTCCAGAATTCTTCGATAGACTTCCCCAAAAACTACCAAAAAATTCAATCGAAATTAAATAGATTTTTCTATCGAAATCGCAATTTCCCCCCTCTATAAATTGCAATGAATTCCAGGTGGATCGACCAACGAAACTTCACCGATTTCATCCGCCCCTGGTACGCAAAAGCGATACCATTCCCCCTGAATTTCTACTACCCCTCGAAATACGAGAAACACGCACGTGCCATGCTAGAATCCCTCTTCCCGCACGAGGAAGTGACGAGTGCAATCGAGAATAAGATATACTCCGAGGCCCAGAAGTGCTTAAATCTGCTGTCAACGAGGCTCGGTGAGGCTGACTACTTCTACGGCTCGCAGCCGACATATCTGGATGCAATAGTCTTCTCGTACTTGGCGCCATTGTTGAAAGTACCACTGCCAAACCCATCACTCCAGAATCACCTCAAGGCATGCACAAATCTCGTCAAATTCGTCTCACGCATATCCCAGAGATACTTCGAGGCTGATTATCAGAAGTACGAGAAAATCAAGTCCAAGGAGAATGAAACGAGATTGAGCAAGGACTCCGATCCTGAATTCCCCCATAAAACGAGGAATCAGATATTAGCTGGAATTTTCGCTACAGTGGCCATGGTCTCCTACGCTGTTTACACGGGTATTGTTAAATGATTAATGAATTGTATATTTTATATTTTATAGAATATTATATTATTATAAGAAACTGCAAGTGGGAGGAGAAGATGTGGAAAATTGATGGTTTTTCATATTTTCTTCTTGGCACAGGGATGTGAGGATGTATAATAAAAGTTATCATTTGAATAATAGGTACAATTTCTCGATACCCATGTACATGTGCGGAAGAGAGGAGATATGAGAGTCGATATGAAGAGAGGGACACGTAAATGATGTTGTTGAATGATTTTCTAGGGTCTTCCCCAATAGTCTGGATTAAAAAAGTAAATGAAATACTGTTTTCTATTCAAGTTATTGATAAGTACTAAGTTCAAATTTTTTAATGAGATCAAAGTTTAACCAAATTCAATGTTATCTTCATTTGACAAAAAAATAAGATGTGGAAGAACTTCTTCAGCGTAAATTGAGGTCGAAAATCTGGGAAATAAATTATTCTTTATATTTTTTTCTTGCTGATAGAGAAATGAGGGATGAGGATGTTTGATAAAAGTTATCATTTCAACAATAAGTACACTTTTTCAATACCTGTGTACAAATCCACAAGTGAGGAGAGGGGATATGAGAGTTGATATGAGGAGAGGGACACGATGTTGTTGAATGATTTTCTAGGGTCTTTCCCCATATTCTGAATTAAAAAAGTCATGGAAATGTTGTTTTCTGTTCTTCTTTGTTTCTATTCAATTTATTGATAAGTACTAATTTCAAATTTTTTAATGAGATCAAAGTTTAACCAAATTCAATATCTTCATTTGACAAAAAAATAAGATGTGGAAGAACTTCTTCAGCGTAAATTGAGGTCGAAAATCTGAGAAATAAATTATTCTTCATATTTTTTTCTTGCTGATAGAGAAATGAGGGATGAGGATGTTTGATAAAAGTTATCATTTCAACAATAAGTACAATTTTTCAATACCTGTGTACAAATCCACAAGTGAGGAGAGGGGATATGAGAGTTGATATGAGGAGAGGGACACGATGTTGTTGAATGATTTTCTAGGGTCTTTCCCCATATTCTGAATTAAAAAAGTCATGGAAATGTTGTTTTCTGTTCTTCTTTGTTTCTATTCAATTTATTGATAAGTACTAATTTCAAATTTTTTAATGAGATCAAAGTTTAACCAAATTCAATATCTTCATTTGACAAAAAAATAAGATGTGGAAGAACTTCTTCAGCGTAAATTGAGGTCGAAAATCTGAGAAATAAATTATTCTTCATATTTTTTTCTTGCTGATAGAGAAATGAGGGATGAGGATGTTTGATAAAAGTTATCATTTCAACAATAAGTACAATTTTTCAATACCTGTGTACAAATCCACAAGTGAGGAGAGGGGATATGAGAGTTGATATGAGGAGAGGGACACGTAAATGATGTTGTTGAATGATTTTCTAGGGTCTTTCCCCATATTCTGAATTAAAAAAGTCATTTAAATATTATTTTCTGTTCTTCTTTGTTACTATTCAATTTATTAATAAGTACTAAGTTCAAATTTTTTAATGAGATCAAAGTTTAACCAACTTCAATGTTATCTTTATTTGACAAAAAAAATAAGATGTGTAAGAACTTCTTTAGCGTAAATTGAGGTCGAAAATCTGAGAAATAAATTATTCTTCATATTTTTTTCTTGCTGATAGAGAAATGAGGGATGAGGATGTTTGATAAAAGTTATCATTTCAACAATAAGTACAATTTTTCAATACCTGTGTACAAATCCACAAGTGAGGAGAGGGGATATGAGAGTTGATATGAGGAGAGGGACACGTAAATGATGTTGTTGAATGATTTTCTAGGGTCTTTCCCCATATTCTGAATTAAAAAAGTCATTTAAATATTATTTTCTGTTCTTCTTTGTTACTATTCAATTTATTAATAAGTACTAAGTTCAAATTTTTTAATGAGATCAAAGTTTAACCAACTTCAATGTTATCTTTATTTGACAAAAAAAATAAGATGTGTAAGAACTTCTTTAGCGTAAATTGAGGTCGAAAATCTGAGAAATAAATTATTCTTCATGTTTTTTTCTTGCTGATAGAGAAATGAGGGATGAGGATGTTTGATAAAAGTTAGCATTTCAACAATAAGTACAATTTTTCAATATCCGTGTACGGATCCACGAAAGAGAAGATATGAGAGTTGATATGAGGAGAGAGGGACATGTAAATGATGTTGTTGAATGATTTTTTAGGGTCTCCCCATATTCTGAATTAAAAAAGTCATTTAAATATTATTTTCTGTTCTTCTTTGTTACTATTCAATTTATTAATAAGTACTAAGTTCAAATTTTTTAATGAGATCAAAGTTTAACCAACTTCAATGTTATCTTTATTTGACAAAAAAAATAAGATGTGTAAGAACTTCTTTAGCGTAAATTGAGGTCGAAAATCTGAGAAATAAATTATTCTTCATGTTTTTTTCTTGCTGATAGAGAAATGAGGGATGAGGATGTTTGATAAAAGTTATCATTTCAACAATAAGTACAATTTTTCAATATCCGTGTACGGATCTACGAAAGAGAAGATATGAGAGTTGATATGAGGAGAGAGGGACATGTAAATGATGTTGTTGAATGATTTTTTAGGGTCTCCCCATATTCTGAATTAAAAAAGTCATTTAAATATTATTTTCTGTTCTTCTTTGTTTCTATTCAATTTATTAATAAGTACTAAGTTCAAATTTTTTGATGAGATCAAAGTTTAACCAAATTCAATGTTATCTTTATTTGACAAAAAAAATAAGATGTGTACGAAGTCCTTCAGCGTAAATTGAGGGCACAATTGTGGGAAATAAATTATTCTTCATATTTTCTTCTTATTCTTGACAGATAAATGAGGGATGGGGATATATAATAAAAGTTATTATTTGAGCAATAGGTCCAATTTTTCGATATCCATGCACAAATAGGCAAGAAAGGAGATATGAGCGTCCATACGAGGAAAGTGACACGTAAAGGATGTTGTCGAATGATGTCTAGGGTTTTTTTTTTCATATTCTGAATTTAAAAAGTCATTGAAATATTATTTTCTATTTTTCTTTGTTTCTATTCAATTTATTAATAAGCAATAAAGTGAAATCTTTTAATCAAATCAAGGTTTAATCAAAGTTTGATCAAAGTCAATGTTATCTTTATTTAACAATAAATAAGATGTAAGAAATCTTTCAGCGTAAATTGAGGGCAAAAGTTTGGGAAATAAACTATTCTTCATGTTTTCGTCTTCCTGACAGAGAAGTCAATAGAATCAGATTTTTCTACACAATATATTCCATGGAGATATTTTCTATAGAAATTTCTCTGAAAAGAGAGGGATGTTCAGAGTTCATTTAAAGGGAGAGATACATAGATGTCTGTTTCTCCAGGAATTCATGGAACGTTCTAGAAAGTTCAAGACTCATTGGTTTTTGGCGCCCCGATTTCACGAATTGATCCAAAATATTTTGGTTCACAAAATGGATGTGTAAAATATTGAAGATATATTTTGCTAGTTGAGGGTAACGACGAACGATCATAAAAAATAAAAAAATGTAAATTTCATGAGGATTCGAAGGAAAATTTGCTCCAAATATTTTTTGCTAATCATACAACAAAGCTATTTTATTCAGGAACAATTCAACATCATTCTACACCGCAATCAATAACATACAAATATAAATCGAAAGAAAATCGATGGGAAACCCCCGCTGAATAATGTGGAATTGTGAAGATATGATCTCCCCCGTCTCTTCATTTAGGTTAGAGGAATGCTGAATAAATATTTGAAAAAAAATAGAGTTCATCAGTGGAAATCAATGATTTCTCGATTTGTATTTTGATGCTACACCGTCAGTTGCCGACACAATTTCCCCGGAGAAACTCTCGAAATTGTGAATTGTTGTGCCACCGAGGATTATTTTGACTCCAGGATTTTGTTTGTTGAGGTTGTAGACGGTGAGGCTCTCCTCGTATGTCGCACCACCGACGATGAAGACAATGACGTCTTGAGTTCTATAATCAAGAAAACAAGGAATTTAATGGAGAATGCTTGGAATTGGTAGCGAAATTGTCTAAGAATCTTATTGGAGTTCTATTAAAATTCTATTGAACAATTTTACAGAAATTCTTAGGCATGAAGTTCCTATGTTTTACTTTATTTTTCATAATAAAATTCAAGAAGAAAATTTGGAAAATTCATGCTCAAAAGGTCTCATCAAGTTTCAGTAGACATTAGAAATGGAAAAGTAAAAAATTGAATAAGAAATTCTATTCAAACTATAAGGATTCTATTCGAGTTTTGTCAAAATTCTAGTAAATAATTCTTTAGAAATTCTCGGGCAGGAATTTTGTATGTTTTATCGTTTCTCATAATAAAATAAAGAAAAACTTGGAAAATTCATGCACAAAAGGTCTTATCAAGTTCCAATAAACATTAGAAATAGACAATAAAAATTTAATGAAAAATCCTATCGAATTTCTATTGAAATTATGACAATTCTATTCGAGTTTTGTCAACATTCTAGTAAATAATTCTATAGAAATTCTTGGACATGAATTTTCTGTTTCATCTTGTTTCTTATAAAGAAAAATTCGAGAAAACTTTGAAAAATGAATGACCGAAAATTGAATCGAGAAATTCTTATTGAATTTCTATTGGAACTTTATGAGAATTCTCTCAGAGTTCTATAGAAATTCCAATGAATGAGTCTATAAAAATTCTTGGGCATGATTTTTCTGTTTTATCTTACTTATTATTTCTCACCCTAAAATCCAAGAAAAATCTTGGGAAATTTATGCTCAGAAATTCTTAGAGTTCCAATAGAAAATCAACAGCATTTGTCAAAGATGTACTAGACGCTTCGATTAAACTTTTTCATACGTCATAGAACTGTTTTATTTTGATCTACTCTAATTGAAAAATTGTTCAACAGATTGATATTACCTTTTCGTCATGACCATATTGCCGAGGTAAGGATACGTCTGAGTATTTAATTTCCCTTTGATAAGATCCTCGAGGATTTCAGTCAACAGAGGATTGTGTTGAGTGTAGACATTGTCAACTCCACTCAATCCTTTGAATAATTTCTTTGTTATTTTTGCCACAGCCTCACGATCGAACAAATTCGACTGTCTCATGTTTATTCCACTGTATTCCAAAATATTATACACCAGCTAGGAAAATTATCCCATCATTAAATTCATGATTCATCGTGAAATTTTGAAGAATAATTTGTACTAATTATTTTACCCTTGTATATTTTTCTGGAACACCTCGTTTCTTCAGCATTTCAAGAAGAGTTCCAATTTCATTATTCGTATGTTTCTCGTAATGAAGAGCATACAACATTACTAATCTAGTGACGTCGATGGCACGGACTGTTGGGTTGTTTAGCAATTTTTTAATTTTCTGAAGCTGTAAAAGAATTACATAATAATAATCCGATAAAATTTTTCCTCTCCGATTTTTATTCTTTGCTATTTTTTTACAGATTCTATCAAAATGTGAGGGTAGAAATTGAATTGATGGGTATTCTTTCATTATTTGAAAAAATATATCAATTTTAAAACTTTCCGGAAACATTGAAAAATCAACCTTTTTATTTTCTTGCTGATCACGTATCTCTGTTCTTTTTTTCACTTTCTTCCATTGAAATTAGATCATAGAAAGGGAACATATTTATATTTTTTCGTCATTAAAAAAAAATCAGTTTTGAAATTGTTTGTTTTCATGATCTGATTTCATTGAGAGGAATTATTATATTATACTGATATTATTCAACATAAATATCTCTTCATTTGAAAATGAGAAAAACGGTTCCCACAATTTGTATATTATAATGGGAATAGAATCCAATAAATTTAATTTAATCTAACTGCAAAGAAAAATTGGAAAAAAAACAATAAAATAAATTAATACAATATAACATAATCGCGCGCGTTCGCTAGTAAAACTAAAATAATAAAAATAAAAATAATGAAACGAAATTTGTGAGGATTTGGAAAGTCATTTTCATATTAAAAAAAAATTATTGATCCAATGACGTTTTAAAAATAATTATTTGGTCATTCTCCCTTATTTAACTTCTTAAATCCTTTGGAATGAGTTGAATTACCTGATTAGAATGTTCATTCTGACAGCAGAGTTCCTGCTCAGTCTCAGAAACCTCCAACAAATTATGTTGAGCGACTAGATTCGACAGTTCGCCGACAACTGTCACGTGTTTAGAAACAGTTCCCGACATTTTTTTGAACAGTGGATAGGCCTCGACGAAGTTCTTCATATCAGCAATACTCTCCACCTTCTGATGTTTCTTCGCTTTTCTCTGAAATTCCTCCATCAATTCTTTAATCGTCTGTCCAATTTCCCCAAAATTCAAGTATAAATTCTGTAAAAAAAATAAGACTAAGATCATTATTCATTCATTAATAGAATTAATGAATTAATTAAGCTCGAGTGGATTTACCTCAGCATAAAACTCGTCGTGCTCAGCACTCAAAACAACTTCCCTCAGTTCCTTTGAAATCCCCTTGACATGAGACAAGTCAACCCGATTATTATTTATCGTCAATAATTCGTGGACCATCGACTGATACGTCCACTGATTCAACAAAGGTGTCACTGGATCATCCCTTCTATCCAGAATCAGCAGAATAGGATCAGTCTCCTGCCTGAATTTGAACGAATTCGACTCCTTGGTCAGCACTTCACGAATCTTCTCTGATAATCTCTTAGCCATTTTCGAACTGTTCTGATAACGAATGTAGGGACATTTCTTCAGGGATAGTAGCACCGATATGATTCCCTCGCAACTTCTGTGGAGATGTGTTGGATTCCATGTTAAACCTGCGAGAATGAAATTTTGATGCTCAAAATGTCAGTAATTCAGACTTCAGGTGAGTTTTTGATGAATATCTCCGAATTTAAGGGAGATAACGAAATTTTCGTAATGACCTTTTTTGTAGGGCGAATTAAAGGCTACACAAAAGGTTTTATCAAAAATTTTCCTATCTCCCTTAGATTTCGGGATATTCATTGAAAACTGGCCGCTTTACCGCTTTGCTACTCAATTTTCATTGAGATTCTTGAAAATGTATTTTTTTATTTCTTATTCTACCTTCACAACATGCGTAAATTCCAAGGGAGAATAGATGTGGATTAATTGCTAGGTAATCTGCATAATACTCGTGAACTTCTCTGACAACTTCCTGCTCATCACTGTCAGCGAGAAGTTTAATATCAGCTTTGGCGATGATGTTACTGAAATCTGAAGGAGAGAAGCGATTGATAAATTATTTGAATGATCGTTGAATCATTTACGAGATTGATTAATCCTAGAGATTATTAATGATCTACTGAGGGTAGAGATATAATCATTCAAGTGGTTGATAAATGATTGGAAAAATTGAAAAAGTATTTGAATAATTGACAAAATCTTCAAAATAATCAAAAATATCATTCATATAATCATCAATTCATTTGCATAATTGATAAATGGTAGAGACAATCGATAAACAATTCCAAGAATCAGTAGAATCATGGAAAACATTGAAAATATTGTTCGAATGACTAAAAAAATTAATCAATGAAAAGAATCAATAAAATCATTTAAATGATGAATAAATCGTCTTGAATAACTGATAAAATTCCACAATTAGTTAATAAATGATTTGAAACTTTGAAAAAAGTATGACAATGATTGACAGCATCTTCAAAATAATTAAAAATATCATTCATATGATCATCAAATCATTTGCATAATTGATAAATAGTTGAGATAATTAATGAATGATTCCAATAATCAATAGAATCATTAAAACAGTTTGAACTACTGTCCGAATGACTAACAAAATTATTCACATTAATCAATAAAAAGAATCAATGAAATCATTGAAATGATGAATAAATCGTCTTGAATGATTGATAAAATCCTACAAGTGGTTGATAAATGATTTTAAATATTGAAAAAAGTATTTGAATAATTGGCAGAATCTTCAAAATAATCAAAAATATCATTTACACGATTATCAAATCATTTGCATCATCGATAAATCGTTGAGATGATTAATGAACGATTCCAACAATTAATAGGATTGAAAAAATTGGAACTACTGTGCGAATTATTGATAAAATCCTCCAAGTGGTTGATAAATAACTGAAAAAATTCGAGAAAGTATTTAAATCATTGACAAAATCATCAAAATAATCAATGATATAAACCAAATGATGAACAAAGCGTCAAAAGTATCAATAAAATTATGTAAATAATGAACAAATCGTCTTGGATGATTGATAAATTCCTCGAAATGGGTGTAAAATAATTGCAAAAATTGAAAAAGTATTCAAATCATTGACAAAATCATCAAAGTAATCATTTGCATAATCGATAAATCGTTGAGATGATTCATGAACGATTCCAACAATTAATAGGATTGAAAAAATTGGAACTACTGTGCGAATTATTGATAAAATCTTCCAAGTGGTTGATAAATAACTGAAAAAATTCGAGAAAGTATTTAAATCATTGACAAAATCATCAAAATAATCAATGATATAAATCAAATGATGAACAAAGCGTCAACAGTATCAATAAAATTATGTAAATAATGAACAAATCGTCTTGGATGATTGATAAATTCCTCCAAATGGGTGTAAAATAATTGCAAAAATTGAAAAAGTATTCAAATCATTGACAAAATCATCAAAATAATCAATAACATCATCAAAATAATTGATAAATCATCCAAAGAATCAATGAAACCATTCAAACCATGAACGAATCAGCCTCCCAATTGATGAATCAATCCAACAAATCGAAAAAATAATCGAAATCATCATTTTGTGTGCTAATAAAACCACTTACATATGTAATACGTCCCATATTTTGGGTTTCTCAGCTCACTACACAGCAGGGCAATATTCTCTTTGGTCGGTCTGATAAATACAATGCACTTGAGGTGTCTCAGGGCCTCGCTCCGCACCACAGCATCAATTTTCTCGAACAGGTAGACCTCCTTCATCAATATCTCCGAATGACTGTAAACCAAACTCACGATACTCGTCTGGAAAACAAAAACAAAGGGGTGAAGTTCTCATTGTTTTGAGTGGAGTCTGACAGGAGAATATAACCTAACAGGCCAGGGCCAGGTTTTTACCGTCTGCTTGTCCATCAGGAGGACCTTCATACCCGGACCACTCTCCTCCGTCATCCGGGTGATATAGAGCTTTATCGCTGTCACTACGTTCATTTTTATTGTTTATTGGAAATTGTGGTGAGGAATTTATTCACTCGAGATGATGTGACAAGTAGCCATTATTGACACTATCTGGTGATAAGAATTGTCAGATTTTTAAAATGATAATGCAACACATTTGGAGAATTGATTGAATCAGGGTGGAATTATTCAAAAAACTCTATTGATTATTGAAGTCTATTTTTGCATCAGACGATGTTATTTTTATGGGATTGTCAGATGTCAAAAATATCCATCGGTAAAACAGATTTTCCATTCAAATTTCGAATTTGAAAGAAATTAGATACATTCAGACAATATTTTTTTCTGAAAAAGTTTTTTTTTTTCCTTGAAAAACTATTTTATTAACGAATTTTATTAGAATTTATTTATTCATTTGAAAAGTTTTTTTTTTCTTTGAAAAACTATTTTATTAATGAATTTTATTAGAATTCATTAATTTCTAGTTTAGTTTTTTTCTTGTTTTGAATAAAGAAATTAATGAATTCTAATAAAATTCATTAATTTCTTTATTCAAAATTGCACAACGAAAACATGGATAAATTTAAATAAAAATAATCAGTAGATAAATTCTGCATGAATGAAATTATTTCAAAAACTTTGTTTCATTTTCACGTCTATTTTTATACTTGAAAATTTTGAATTTACGGAGTAATTGTCAACCGTTAAAACTCTAGCAATTAAATATATGTTCTAGTCAAATTTTGAATCCACAGCATGTTATGAAGAATTATTTACTTGATTAATTTTACTGCAATTGTAATTGAAAATATTAATTAGAATTTCCGAATTACTAAGTCCTAGCAATAATTCCATCATGACATTTCTGTGAGAATAATGAATCATTTAATCCATAAGAACCCATAAAAAATTGATAATGTTGCTAATCAATTATTAAATAATAATTATCAAAGTTCGAAAGTTAGGCTATTTATTCAAATAATCATTTCCTGAAATTAACAACAATTGAAATTCCAAATATTAATTCCTCCTTTCTCAATTGACTTCAACATCTATTTCGACGGAATAGATTTTTCATTTAAATCACCAACAATTCAATTCATTTATAAAAACAATTACTTAATTTACAAAATTTGTTGCAATGTAAAGTTTTGATATTGCGCCTGAAAACTCAGTCTATTGTAAATATTGAAATTTCCTTCGGTATCACAGGAATTGAAGTAGTTTAGAGAATCATTTTATTTATAAAAATAATCACAATTACAATTCTAACAATTCATTTTCCCTCTCACACATGTCGTAATTCGGGTTGTAATGTCCTATAAATTCCATAAATTCGCGATAGGAATAATTCAATTCTATTATTCGAGCATCAGAATTGCAATCGTTTGGCGAGACTTCCCCCATCCACAGATTCCAATAATTTCCTCTTGAGACTGGGTTTATCCTCGGGTTGTTTCTTTATTGCTTGGGGTAGGGGCAACCTCGCACCTATTGTGGGCGCTGGTTTGTTGCTGAAATAGGGCATCTGTAGGGCCTGATCACAGGTACACCTGTCTAGGGGATTTATGCTCAGTAAACTGGCTATTAGGTCGAGGAGATCGTCTCCAGCGGCTGTGAATATGTGTTTTAAGGGGGTGCCTGGGAATGGCTTGAATTGAATGAAATCTGGTAATTCTTTCATTCCTCGCCATGTTTCTTCTGTCGGGGTTCCCAGTGTCTGAAAATTAAAAGAATCATTTTCTTTCGTATCACGTATAAAAAAATAGTCATATTTCGTTAGACAATCGATTGGATTTCTATTGAATTCTTTGAATTAACTTGACGCATGATATTCAAAGATATCGGATTTGTCATGTTCAGAGAATACAAAATTTTCGAAAATCATTCTGTAAATCAAAACAACGATTATTACTATCGTCTTCATCTTCGCAATCGGGCAAAAAGACATCGAAACGATTTTGTAAGCTATCATTCAATTAATTCAGAACATTTTTTTAGTTATTATAGGACAACCGATTTTTTTTAATCAAAAAATTCTAAAAATTATATAAATTAAATGTTGATTAATTTTGATGGATGGGGCTCGACAACATCTACATTCTAAAAAAAAAGATTTAATTCTATTAATTGATTAACGAACAGATAGAGAAAAAATTGCATTTTTGGACTTTTTGAATGATAATGGATTGATATAACTAAAAAAAATCCAAAACTTAAAAATTACAAATTTTTTCATTCGGAAGTAAAAAGAGTTTCAAGGCCTCAGTTCCCTAAAAAAATGATATTTCACCTGGAAAATTCTCGTGAGCTGATCCAGATCAGATTCCCCAGGCAAAAAAGGAACCCTGAGTAATAATTCAGCTAGAATGCACCCCACAGCCCACATATCGACTCCAGTGCCATACAATCTCGCTCCATAGAGCAACTCTGGTGATCTGTACCATCTCGTCACCACTTGATGAGTATTTATCCTATTCGGTGAGCCAAAGAACTTGGCCAGACCAAAATCTCCGATCTTCAGGACACCCTTGCTGTCCACCAGGAGATTGTTGGGCTTCAAGTCCCTGTGGAGTATCCAGTTGAAGTGGAGGTAATCCAGTCCTTGTAATGTCTGGATCATGTACGATTTTATGTTTGCTGTTGTTAATACGATGCTGTTATCCTTGATTATCACCTCCAGATCAGTGTCCATAAAATCGAATACTAGGGATACGTTGGATTTGTGACCAAACACATCTGTAAATGATTTTTAAGAGTTACTGGGTGGTTCAAATATCGATAAATTATTTTGGGAAGAGGCCAAATTGGTGAAGTTCATTTTGTTTATTATGCATTTCGCTGGTGAAATATTGAAACGTAATTATCTCAACGACGAATCATTTGAGAGAAAAATGTCAAGTCGATAAATTATTTTTAACAGGTCATTAAAGTAGCTCTACCCTTCGGCCGGGCTACGCTGTACTTTTGGATACTTTCAGTTTTTAAATTTTTCATACCCAGTCAGTATTATCTAAATTAAATTTCGCAAAATACTGATATTTTTTCAAACATTTCCCTCTTATAAATAAATAATAAAACTTGTTTGCAAAACGGTGGATTATTTTTTATGAGGTGTCAAAAAAATTCTTGATTTTTTCACATCTAATGAAAAAAAATTCAGATTTTAATCTTTGATTACAATGGAAATGTCGATTTTCACATAAGACACTGGGTTAAATCCTGATTTGTAAACATTTCTTCTTTGAAAAACCAAAACAATAATTAAATTGAAAAAAAGCTTCCATTCGGAAGCAAAAATAGAATTCTGAATCTAATCGAGTTTTCTGCAATTCTTTTGCAGTTTTCAATAATCATTGAATTTACCGTAAGGGTAGAGCTACTTTAATGAATTAAATATCGATAAATTAGCTCGAGATCAAGTCAGCATTTTTAAAGTTAGATCTCTTCATTTTTTATTTTATTAGTTACGTAATGAGATGTGATTATCTCAATGATGAGCGATTTGAGGGGGAAATGTCAATAAAAAAAATTACAATTTTTTATTGAGGATTCAATTAACCATAGGAAAAGTTTTTGGACATCTGAGGTGACTGCCAATTGAATAATAACGTCAATTTGAAGTTTCACTCACCCAACAATCCAATGATATTTTCGTGCTTCAAGTCCTGGAGTAATTTAATTTCCCTCAGTGCAGTGCGATTGATCCCATCTCTAGCTTCAGCTCTGCTTCCCACTTTAATCTAGAATTTTATATGATGATAATATTTTTTTTATTAATTTGATGATAATTTTAAAACAATTATTAATTATGAACTTTAGTCAATGATCTACCAAATGATGAATTTCACAAACAGTGAAAATATCAAGATCTCTGCAAGTACTCCACGTGAGTCTTTCAATGTGGCGAGGCGAAATAAATTTAAAATGCCCGAAAAAAAATTATTCATCATTGATCATTTTTACATCGAGTCTAACTTGGAGGAGAGTAAGAAATGAATTCATCAAATTGTAATCAAATTCTAATTCTAATCTATTCTACAAATGTCGGACGGAATAATTACTATTACGAAAATTACCATGTTTTGGTGAAAATTTTCTTTTTTGTCCACAATAAAATGGTTCAACACGACAAAAGATCTCTTCGGGGGAACAATTTTTCGGCAGAACTTACTTTTTCTCTCAGTGTAAGACTGCGTTATTTTGCCACTTTCAAATTAATCATTATCAATAATACTAGACTGCCAATTGGACGCGAACTTAACCAGGATGTCTTTAATTCATATCAACTTCCGTTTAGAATTTATTTCAGATTTTTATCTTCAAAGTTTAAAAGTATATGAATTAATATATTATTTATTTATTTATTATATAATTTAAAATTATATTATATAGGTACTATTTAATCTTTTATGTTTATAGTACTTGAAACAAATCCTAAAAATGTAAAGAACTTCATCAAACTTGGGAGAATGGAACAAAAACTTGAGAAAAAAGAAATGAGTGAAATTGCAATTTGATATTCTCATCTAGGGTGAACAGGCCAATTGCTGGACGGTTGAGGGAAATTCGAGATTTGTAATAGGATCTAAAGTAAAAGAATCACCTGAATGGGAATATGATGATTTCCATACCTTCAAGAATGTTTTACTTAGCGGAATAAAATGATTTGAAGTGAAAATAACAAAACAAAGAATAATTAAATCAAGAAATAGTTAAAAGCTGCGGAAACCCCTAACTTCTGGACGACTGGGCCATATTTTTTTTATTTATTAAATGTCGATCAATAGAAAAAATAATTGATCACATGTTTATTCACGAGTAATCTTATTGAAAGGGGAAATAATCAGGACAATTTCCATTTTACTTATGGGATATTCCACGCAAGTTGAAATCGTCCAGAAATTGACCTGTTTACCCTATAAATAATTAAGATGATCGAACCTTTTTCACAGCTACGATGTGACCGGTTTCTGAGTCCTTAGCCTTGTAAACCGTGGCGAACTGTAGTAATAAAAGAATTTCAATAATTAAATTACCCAGAAATATGCGAATGAAACGTTTGTTTTATGAGTCTTACCTGTCCCTCTCCCAGAAAATCAATTTTTTCATATCTCCTTAACTTGTCAGCCATTATTATTTATTTATTTCAACGATCATTTCACTCAAAACATTACAGACATCGCTGTACAGGTTAAACTAGTCTCGTCAAGACAACGAAAAGTAAACACACTCGCATGGGTTGCGATTGACGAGGAGAGGAGACGGGGAAATTGCAGTGAGTCCTCTGATTGGTTGCCCCTCCAGACCAATTGCTGTTTCACGTTTGACAGCTCTATTGTTGTGATCGGTTGTCATTGACAACGAAAACGTGCTTTTACTCCGGAAAGTACTGCAATAATACTTGCCAGGACATTCCTCTTAATTACCATAATTTTTTAATTATTAAGGGATGAATTCGGTTGTAGAGAGTGCGGAGAATGACAAACATCTTATTATTTTCGATACCTCGAAGAATGAGAGAAGACTCAATGAAGAATTCAAGGTTTTACAGAGGAAGTTGAAGCAGAAGTGGAAATTTGTCGAGTGAGTTCAATTCAACTTTTGGAGAAATCGAAATTGATTAGTTTTATCAGTTGATTGGATTAATTAATTAGATACATCCAAAATGGACATTTCAATTTGAGAATTGCGATTTCAAATTGAGACTTTTGAAAATCTTAAGTTGAGTTCTGAAACTCTCAAGATAAGACTTTCGAATTTCTCAAGTTGAGTCTTGAAAATTTCAATTTGATACTGAAGATCTCAATTAAAAGACTCTAAAATCGTGAAAAACCTAGCAAATTCGTTAGAGAATTTTATTGGATTTCTATTAAAATTTATTTTCGTTTTTGGCCGATTCTATTGAATTGTTTAACAAAAAATATTCAATAGAATTCGATTTTTCTATATAACTTATTCCATGTTCCAAGTTTTTTTGTTTGATTTTCGTGGTGAGAAGAAAGGAAGAATACATTGAAAAAAACTTATAGAAAATATATACTTATATAAATACATACTTATACAATTTCTTTGTGCGTAAAAATAAAAATTCAATTGATTTCCAAAGATTTCACGGACGATAAAATTTAATAGAACAACCTATGGAATTCGGTAGAAAATTCTATTGAATTTTTATTGAGCTTTTCCATTAGTTTTTGGCCGATTCTATTGAAATATTCAATAGAAAATATTCAGTAGAAAAAGTCAATAGAATTCAGGTTTTCTATAGTATAACTTATTCTATTGAGATATTTTATATAGAATTTCATCGGCTCAAATTTTCCAAGTTTTTTCGTTTGATTTTCTTGATGAGAAGAAAAGAAAAATAGAATGAAGAAAACTTACAAAATTTGAGTCGAGCAAATTCTATAGAAAATATATAAAAAGAATAATATTATATTACATAGAAAAATCGAATTCTGTTGACTTTTTCCATTGAATGTTTTCTATTGAACATGTCAATAGAATCAGCCAAAAACTAATAGAAAGTTTAATAGAAATTCAATAGAATTTTCTAACGAATTCGACAGGTTTTTCTATTAAATTTTTTCGTGCGTGTTATGCTGAATCAATTCATTAATTCGAATTAATTCGTAAATTCGGATTGACTCACCTGTGGATTTGCTTTTTGATTCACATTTAGGAATAATGAAGTATTATCTCAAGAGACTCTGGCCAACGGCGAAGTCCTGGTACTCGCCGAGCCGCGGAGCAAATTCACAGAACTCGAGATGAATTCAATCAGAGGATTCATTAATGGTGGAGGGAATGTTCTGGTGATGCTTGGCGAAGGGGGAGAAAACAAATTCAATACTAATATCAATTTTCTACTCGAAGAGTTCGGAATCATGGTGAACAATGGTAAACGTCGGTTTAAAGAATAAAACTTTTGGTAATTCCTTGAAGTAATCGTCATTTGCTTCTCGTTAATAGACTTTGTCGTGAGAATGAATTACAATCAAACACTCCATCCTAAGGAGTGCACGATCACTCAGGGTTTATCGAACAATTCGAGATTTGTACATAATCGCGACGACTTCACGTGAGTATAACATTTTACGAGAAAAGTTTATATAAAAACCTAGCGCAATTTCGCTGAAATACTCTATTGGATTTCTATTAAAATTGAATAGAATAATTTTGCAGTTTTTTCGTATTTTTCTTTTCAATAAAAATGTTCGATAGAAAATATTGTCTAGAAACAATAAATAGGTTTTGATTTTTCTATGAAACTTATTCTGTGGAGATTGTTTCTCTAGAATCTAACGTCTAATGCATTCAAATACATTTTTCCTCAAATTTTCGAGTTTTTTGTTCTATTTTTTAATAAGAAAAGAAATGGTTACAGTAAACGATACTAAAAAATCACGCTGAGAAATTTTGGTGTATAAAATATCTTCTCTGGAAAATTTTTATTTAGAAAAACGCACAGAAAAGCTACGAAATTTCTTAATAGATTCCGCGAAAAATCAATATTTAAACGGTTTAGCGAATAATTCGAGATTTAACGAGTTCATACAAAAACCTAGCGCAATACTCTATTGGATTTCTATTAAAATTGGACAGAATAATTTTGCAGTTTTTTCGTGTTTTTCTTTTCAATCAATGAAAAATCAGTATTTAAACGGTTTAGCAAATAATTAGAGATTTAAATAGAATCTTGACGGCCTCACGTGAGTATTACATTTTACGAGAAAAGTTGATAGAAAACACTAGCGCATGTTCGAAGAATACTCTATTAGATTTCTATTAAAATTGGATAGAATAATTTTGCAGTTTTTTCGTGTTTTTCTTTTCAATAAAAATGTTGAATAGAAAATATTGCATAGAAAAAAAATAGCTTTTGATTTTTCTATAAAACTTATTCTGCTGAGATTATTGTTACAGAATGTGACGTCCGTCGAAAAATGCATTAAGTACATTTTTTCCTCAATAATTTTTTTAGCAAAACACTAATTGTTTTTGCAAATGTATATTTGTCCCAATAAGTTTCTTGGCTCAAAATTTCCCGGTTTTCGTGCTCGATTTTTTAATAAGAGAAGAAATAAATTCAGTAAAAAATGCTTAAAAATCACATCGAGAAATTTTTCTCTGCGACATAACTTCTACCGAAAAATTCTCGTTTAAAAAACGCACGGGAAAGCCACGGAATTTCTTAATGGAATCCGCGAAAAACTAATATTAAATTTGAAAGATTCTATTTGTTATTTCAAATATTCTCAGGCGCATGAATTTTATTTATCCTTATGGGGCGACCTTGAACGTCGTGCAACCTTCGATAGTGGCCCTGTCAACGGGTACCCTAGCCACCCCGATGAATAGACCAATTTGCGCCTATTACTCGTCACCCACGAGTGCAGGAAAACTAGTCGTTCTGGGCTCCTCTCGCCTTCTGACTGATTCCTACATCGAGAAGGAGCAGAACGATGCCTTGAGAGACATGATTTTTCAGTTCTTCCAGTCCAAGGAACAAGTGTCCCAGAAATTCCATGTGGACGAGATTGAGGTGACAGGCAAATAATCTATTCGTTTATTTGTGTATTCATATATTTATTCCTTTTTTTATTTTATTTTTTATTCCATTTCACCGTATACCTTTCGATTTTTACAGTTTCATATTCCTTCATTCTGGTTTTTTTGCACGGTGAGAAATATTCAGTGAAAATTACGGAACAATTCACGTAATCCGCAATGGGGAATCGGTTTCCGGCAATTTTTATCGGAATAGAAGGGAAGAAATCGGAAACGTTCAGTGAATTTTCAGGTTCATCACCAAATAAAGTACGGAATTGTCACGTCATTTCTCCCGAAGGAGTGAAATCTTACAGAAACTTGCCGACTTATTATGCCTCCAAAATCAAAAATTCTTGAACGTTCAACAATTTTTGTGAAGCTGGTGAGTTATTTCTCCGTTCCGTTCCGTAAAATTTCGCAATCGTTGGGGAAAAATTACGGAATTACCTGTTGTCCCTACAGCGGTGAGTCATCAGACGGCTGGTTAATTTTTACGGAACAAATCGTAGAATTTACGTGACGATTCGTACAATTTCAGTTCCGACTCACACTTTTTATTGAATTTCACTTCGCTTGCGAATTACGTTTCGAAACGTAATTTTTACATTTTTTTTCTGGTAATTTTTATTGAATTTTTCTCTCCGTGCGCATATTTGTTTTTTCCCAAATGCTCTTTCCAGTTTTTCCAAACAATTTTTCGCGGGCAAAAAGAGGAAATATTTGAATGATTCTATCCCATATAAGCGCATGTTAGCGCATGCATTTGGTGCATTTTGTGTTTCATTTCTAAATAATGAACATGGGTTGGTGGATTGAAATTTGTATCAAAGTGAAGGGAATATCTTCATCTTTTTTTTTTTTTTTTTTTTTTTTTTTTTTTTTTTT